AATGCCAGTGTCAGCTAAATGCATGTTGACGAGGAGGGGTTTGTATTTCACAGTATGTTACTGTAATTACAAGGGATTGGTGCAAGCAGGTTGGCTGATAGGTAAAGTGTTTACAAACATTACAGCATATTAATGAATTTGCACTTCTAGAAGCCTTAACAAACACTGGGCGAAAAGGGTCCATATCATGAGATATCTTTACATGACACGTTTTTTATATTTTACAGAATACAGACCATTTCCAATGCATATTTAGATTTTTGTGGATATGCACCATATCCTGACAAATTCTTAATCCAGATGTGTCTTTTAGACATCTATGATATTGGGATTACTCCGAATATCACACATGGACATTTCCTACGGCCGAATATGGACTCATTCAATATCCTGAGATTTGCAACATCCTATTTTCTCTCTTTATGTTGACAAATACTGACTGTATACATCGCATATCTATTTTCTCAAGATATGAAGCTATATTGATTCCAGATATGCTTCTCTTGGCTGAAGTCCATATCCGGATCTTGAAATGTTTTTTGATATGCTGAAAATAAGGACGTTTTCTGATGCATTTCTGAGTTTTCATGCTCAATAATTTGACAAATATGAAATCCATATTTTTCTTTCATGCACAAATCATTTTGGGATGCCCTCCGGATATCATACATGGTATGGCCGGATATTGACTCATTAGATATCCTGAGATAGGCCTATTTGGACTTCTTTTGGATTATTTTCTTTTTTTTCTTTTGGATTCCTATTTGGATCTTCTTTTCTCTATATGATGACAAATACTGACAGTAGGCCTACATAGTATATTTTCTCAGCATATATAAAATACATATGCTCTTGACAAATATGAAATCTATATTTTTATTTCAGAAACTAGCTATAATGTTTTTATTCTCTTTGCATAAAGGCACTGTAACTGGTAGCCTAGCAACAAGAATCATATTCCAACATTCCAATATTTATTTATTTTTTGCCACCAAAAATGAGTGTGTAAACGGTGTGTAAACGGTGTGTGTTAAATAAATAAAGTAAAATATATATACAGAAAATGTGTTGTGATTGGAGCTCTGGATTTGTTATGTTGCATTTTTTAAACAGAAATAGCAGAGATGTTTAACTTAGATTAAATATTATGATGTTTGCCTTTCCGTGCCTTTTATAGCCTACTACTGAATATGGTGCAAATGTATGCTCAGATATTGTATGTCACCTTCATGTGAAGAAACATAATTTGGGCGCTGGACATTTCATGAGTCGGATTTAGCCCCTTTTCGATCAGACATACGAGGATGAATACTACATATATAAGGGTATCTATTACATTTTTTTGTTTAAATATGGATACATAAATGATCAGTTAATGATTACAGATATGATACAATTCTGAAAATATGTGGATTCGGTCATGCCTAAGGCAGTATGTTGACACATACCCTTTGTGGAGTTAGAATATTCTACAAATATGTAAGTGGGTGCAGGTGCATCAGGTGCGTATTTTGAACGTATCTCACCCCAGATATCTCCCTGGACTCACATGGTAGCAGGGAGATTTCTGAGGTCCAGATTGGATGCATGTAGAAACTGTCCCATTACGGAGAATATCCTAGCTCCGTATCTAAAATTAAGGACATGCGTATCTGGAGCATGTCTACGCCTTTTATTTAATAAAATGTCAGATATCCAGAAATATATAAATAAAGATATCCCCTAATATTTACCCTTTTCGCACAGTGAAAGGCTTCCAAACTGGCAGCGACTACAGTGTAAAACATGGCAAAATGCTAAACCATTTAAGCTTTAAGACTTCCTGCCACTAATCTGTCCCCTATACATTTTAAATTGATAGGGCACTATAACCATATAGGAGTAAAATTGGTACAGCATTCTCACTCATGGGTGCAACAAATATAGCGTCTTACAAGGCACACCTCAAAATATGTTAATTAGCCAGAAACAACAATACTATGCATCCACTAGAGGTCAAAAGGTCTTTGGCGCACCAAAGATACGGTACGGTACTGTATTATACGTGGTGGAATTACAGTACCATTCGAAATATAGCAATTCTTTCACCGCCCACAACATTTTCCCACAATGCACCATGATTTACAGTATGCTGCAGTAAAATGTTTCAGAGTGCTTTACTGTTGATAATACAAATAATTACCATATAATTTACCGTTTTCCGTTACAGTGTAGGCTACTGTACAAGGCATTTGCTACGCATGAAAAATTACCATGACGCAAATACAACATCCACACAATGTTTGGATCTCATTAGATCTGTTTGGTATCTAAGCGCATCGTATTAGTCTATTTAAAACCCACTGCTATCAGCAATATTGGACATTGGTTTCCTTTATTACTTCAGTGAGAGTCGGGTATAAGAATCACACCCAGAATAAGGAGGTCCCAAGAAAACAGGCTTCCTCAGTCCAGAGGGACAGTTAATGAGGCATATAATGCAGTGTAATAAATCTAGACACATCGATCCAGGCCAGTACTATTGAGAGCAGCCCCTACCCTGACTCACACATTAACTGGCCAGCCATGCTCATTACACACACACACACAAGCAGGTACACACATACACATGCACACACACACCATGGGCGGCCGGTGCTGTTTAAGATGAGGGAGAATTATAAATTTTTTATGAGCATGGCCTTATTTCTATTACAGCATATTGGATGACTGTCATTCATATTCCATTCACCCAGCTCAATGTTACATCGATAGGTTTAGGTTACTACATGATACTCGACTTATCCCTGTACCGATCATGAGGTTGCTACAACCTAGCCTATGAATGAAAGTTTACAACGTAGGTACACAGGTCTAGAGTATTTTGAGTAATCAAGGTGACAGACAGTGACACATTCAATGCTGCCTGCACACTCTTGCCTGCATCTAGCTGATCTAGGGTGTAATCATTAGTCCAACAGTTGCAAACAAGAGTTTCTATTGGACAAATTATGTTTATCCCCGGTTCATTCCGTTTGCTTATGTTTAAGAAACTTCTTTCAACAGAATCGGCGGAATGAATACACCCCTGGTCACACGAAATCAGTTCACTTTCATAGCAGCCACCTAAAAACAGCATGATCACTTTACAGGTTGTATATATAATTCCTTCTCGCAACTATCTACGCGCTCTCCTCCTCTCACCTTTTCCCTTATAATAATAAAATAATAATATGCCATTTAGCAGACGCTTTTATCCAAAGCGACTTACAGTCATGCGTGCATACATTTTTGTGTATGGGTGGTCCCGGGGATCGAACCCACTACCTTGGCGTTACAAGCGCCGTGCTCTACCAGCTGAGCTACAGAGGACCACCCTTCAGTGGACTTCAGTGCACAACACATCAGCTGTCTATGACCAGGCGAAAAAACCTTTCCAAGCCAAACTTTCATATCATGACCGCTAACCGCTACACCCAGCCTACATCGTTGTCACGTCATTGTCAACTAGAACTACTAGAACTAACACGTTAGTAAACCTGCTACAATCATGCAGTACAGTGTACAGTCAGAAAGCAGTTTAACAGTTACACTGCCAGGCCCCAGTGGCAATAAATTCAAAAAACCAAACGCTTACCTTGACTTGGAAGAGTTCCAGTGTTGGATAGCCATAGCCAGCTAGCTAACATAGCATCTGTAATGTTTAGGCACGACAGTGCTGTAAGACTGATAATTGTTTACGACGACATTAACCTAATATGGCACCTCATGGTGGATCCATAGTACTACAGTTTGTGGTAGTCAGTCAACCACTAAACGTTTGTGTGTGAGCCATGCAACACTTCTAGGTAAACGACCATCAACTCGATCTGTGTCTGGACATAATTGTATTATTCATATTGAACATATGGAATATTACAGCATCACTCTCTGTTTGAGCTGGGTGTTTGAGTAGGCTAAACTAGCTAGCTGCATAAGCAGTTTAGCAGTTACACTGGCGGACCCCAGTGGCAATACATGTATATTTGGTCCCAGTGTTGGATAGCCATAGCCAGCTAGCTAACATAGCACCCCTCTCTGTTTGAGCTGGGTGTTTGAGTGGGCTGAACTAGCTAGCTTATTTTGCTGTGAAAGTGAAAGTTTGAAAAAATACAACCAAATATAGCTAGCTCTCTCTCTGTCTCTCTCTCTTGCTTCTCCTTAATTTTGGAAGAAATGAATTTGTTCAAAATGGTTCAACTATTGTCTTTCTCTCTCTTTGAGTAAACTACTCACCACATTTTATGCACTGCAGTGCTAGCTAGCAGTAAATTATGCTTTCAGTACTAGATCCATTCTCTGCTCCTTTGATTGGGTGGACAACATGTCAGTTTATGCTGCAAGAGCTCTGATAGGTTGGAAGATGTCCTCTGGAAGTTGACATAAGTACTTTGTAAGTCTATGGAAGGGAGAACCATGAGCCTCTTAGGTTTTGTTTTGAAGTCAATGTACCCAGAGGACAGAGGCTAGCTGTTCTCTGGCTACAACATGGTGCTACCCTACAGAGTGCTGCTGAGGCTACTATAGACCTTAATTGCAAAACAGTTTGTTTTATTAATCAATTATTTGGTGACGTGAATATATTTAGTATAGTTTTATCTCAAAATGATAACTTTTTTTATGTTTCACTTTTAATTTTTATGAAATTCACTGAGGAGGGTGGTCCTCCTCAGTGAGGAGGGTGGTCCTCCTGAGGAGGGTGATCCTCCACACACACACAGCCTTGCATTAGCCAGTAAACTGAAAGGGAGACACTTGGCATCCCCTCAGTTCTGCTAAGATCCCAACACTAGGCACATAGGGATTCCATATGGACCGGTGTATAGTTGGACTGGCTTGCTCAGTTAGCTCGAGTATGGTGCACCAACATTTGAAACTATAAACACCATTTCTTAAAAACCACATTGAAACCATGGTGACGAGAAATTATTGGAAGTATACTTTACTGTGCTGTAGTGTACTGTACTGTAGTTTTCTGTACCTCGTCCGAAGCAGGGCATGTTAGATGTTCCCTTGCACTTTTTCAGGCTGCTCTCCAGAGACAAGGAGCAGGACAGAGGGTGCTCACATTTCTTCCCCGCCCAGCCTTCCTTACAGTCACACCTTCCACAGTTACACTGGCCATGTCCTGGGGGAGAGGAGGGAGAGTGTAAAGATGAAGGGGTTGGGGAGGAGAAAGGGAAAATAGTGGAAAGATGAGGTAGAAGAAAGTGTGTGAGTAGATGGGGCGATTTGGGGTTGGGGAAGGGAGGAATAGAGAAAGAGGGGAGCGAGTGGCAGAGGGAGGGAGGAAAAGGCACTGGAAAGGATGAGGGAGAATTTAGTGTTGAGAGGGAGAGATTTACTGCGTTTTGACAAACAAAACACCATAAACATGAAAAGCTGTTCCATTGCAAATATATTTTGTTAAAACAAATCATAGGAATATACTTTATCATCACCAATAGAAGGCACAGTGAGAGCTTCCTCAGTCCTTACATTTGCCCAATAAGTTACTAAAGTTACATATGAAACAGCATAACTTTTTAAAGTTTTACTGTTGTATTAGAACCAGATGGAAGAGTGTTTTTGGTGTTGGCCCTGTGTCTGTGATCTCAGGGTAATCCTGAAGAACAGAAGTGGGTGGAGTGTTTTTCTTGTCTCAAACTGTATTATTCCACGCAACGCCCAATTTCTAAAGCTGAATCAGCTGGACTTTAATCAAGAACAGAATGTATCCAGTTTCTAAAGTTCATGTAACCCTCACAAAGATCTTTGGGTTACTATGACAAAGATTATGTAATATAATGGTCTATTTTGTGTCCATGTTGTTAGTTGATTACATTTTGTTCATAATCACATGATAATTTTACTTCTGGGTAACCGAGATTAGCTTGCCCTCATAGTTGCCCTATGTAAGTACATGTTGACATTGCATTAACATTGTATTAAAGTGACATATAGAATGCGTTACATTTGAGTGTATCAGACTGAAGCGAACACAGCCAGTTGCCATCCTGTCTCACCTGAACAGAAGTCATCAGAGTATCTGTCGTAGGTTGCGTGACAGCTCCTCTCGTCACACTCGCAGGTGTCTCCGTGAATGTCACCCCAGTCCCCCGATGGATCCACATCATAGCATGTACACTCCCCACATACGCAGGTCCCTATACACACAGAAACCCACACAGAAAATAATGCACACACACACAATATTTTCAGAATTTGGAGTGGATTCTGTTTTCAACACATTCCCAGAGAAAACCCAGTCTAATCCTTTTTTAACTAAATGAATGTTTATGCACCACAGAGATCAAACAATAGAGGACCTATGGGAACTCAAAGAAAGTCAGAGAGACTACAAACATTATTTTGTTGTATGGAATATTTTAGGCAGGGAAACCTTATTGAACACACAAGGGCCATCCTGCCTCTGCCTCTTGAGTTGAAGGATTAGGAGGTTTGCTGAGACAGTTTCAGTTAGTGACGGTAACACAATCAAAGTCTGGCTGAGAGGGTAGGCAGACTGATTCCCCCTGAGTCTCAAATCCTTGGTAGAGACCCCAGAGTGCAGACTATTGACAAGAAAAGCCCACAGCTATAAAAAGATAGGAGGGACTGGGTTTGGGCAGGAGTATGGCAGTAGCCTTAGTGGGCATAGCAAGGGACAATGGCAGGAGCCTACGTATGGGTAAGGCAATGGGCAACGGCAGGGTAAATTTGCAGGAGCCTGTAGGGGCACGGCAATGGGCAATAGCAGGGGCAATGACAGAAGCAAAGGCAGGAGCCTAGGTAGGGGCACAGCAAAAGGCAATGGCAGGAGCCTAGGGCCACGAGAATGATCAATGTCAGGAAGCAGGATCACAGGCAGGGGGAGGAGAATAACATTAAGTACAGTATAGGCATATGTATGGTCAAGCATGGTCAGGTGTGGAGGTAATCTGTGATAGTGGAACAACCGTGGTCCACTTTACTATTTTTCAATTTCCCTTTTTCTCTCCATCTCCTCCTATGCCCTTTCTCTATCCTCCTTCCCACTCTCTTCTAATTTCCTACCTCACATACCTCCATCTCTCTCTTTCATTATTTTCCCTCTGATGAGTCTAAGCCAGGGTGCCGGTTGAGCAGCTGCCAGTGGAAATCCCATTTTCTCTTATCAGGCACGACAGGACAGGACAGGGGGAGCCCTGGGGGAGCCAGGTCAGTTGGCAGGCCTCTTGACAGGGGCAGACACATGGCAGATTTGGCCTCTGGCCCTGGATCTCCTCCCTCTACTGGGAACCCTGGAGCTCAGGCTTTCCTTGCTGTAGAGCCATGCTGTTTCATGCCACTAACAATGTCACTGTTCTAAAAACATTAATACAAACCAAGAGTCCTGACATTTGCACCTGGACCTGTATATCTCTGAGATATAAACATTAAGAACACCTGCTCTTTCCATGTCAGACTGACCAGGTGAATCCAGGTGAAAGCTATGATCCCTTATTGATGTCACTTGTTAAATCCACTTCAATCAGTGTAGATGAAGGGGAGGAAACAGGTTAAAGAAGGATTTTAAAGCCTTGAGACAATTGAGACATGGATTGTGTATGTGTGCCATTCAGAGGGTGAATGGGTAAGACACAAAATGTAAGTGCCTTAGAACGGGGTATGGTAGTAGGTGCCAGGCGCATCGGTTTGTGTCAAGAACTGCAACGCTGCTGGGACTTTCACACTCAACCGTTTCCTCTGTGTATCAAGAATGGTCCACCACGCAAAAGACATCCAGACAACTTTACACAACTGTGGGAATCATTGGCGTCAACATGGACCAGCATCCCTGTGGAACGCTTTCGATTCCTTTTAGAGTCTATGCCCCGACAAATTGAGGCTGTTCTGAGGGAAAAAGGGGGGGGGGGGGGGGCAACTCAATATTACGAATGTGTTCCTAATATTTGGTATACTCAGTGTATATCAGTGTTTTATTTATAAAATGACTTTATTATGGGCTTATACAGTACATAATTATCCAGGAAAGATTTTAAGTAGGAAAACCTGCAAAATCGGTAGTGTATCAAATACTTGTTCTCCCCACTGTAGCTTCTCTTGGTGGGAGTGAGATAAAGATGGTATTCTTTGAAAGCAATGTAAAAAATTAAAAATAATAATAAACATCCAAGAGGCAAACACTTAAAATCTTTCCTGGATAACTATGTACTGTATAAGCCCATAATAAAGTCATTTTATAAATAAAAAACGGATATACACTGAGTATACCAAATATTAGGAACACATTAGTAATAAAGGGGGGGGGGGGGGGGGGGGGGGGCAACTCAATATTACGAATTACTTTTACATTGCTTTCAAAGAATACCAACTTTATCTTACTCCCACCAAGAGAAGCTACAGTGGGGAGAACAAGTATTTGATACACTGCCGATTTTGCAGGTTTTCCTACTTACAAAGCATGTAGAGGTCTGTAATTTTTATCATAGGTACACTTCAACTGTGAGAGACAGAATCTAAAACAAAAATCCAGAAAATCACATTGTATGATTTTTAAGTAATTCATTTGCATTTTATTGCATGACATAAGTATTTGATCACCTACCAACCAGTAAGAATTCCGGCTCTCACAGACCTGTTAGTTTTTCTTTAAGAAGCCCTCCAGTTCTCCACTCATTACCTGTATTACTGCACCTGTTTGAACTTGTTACCTGTATGAAAGACACCTTGTTACCTGTATGAAAGACACACTCAATCAAACAGACTCCAACCTCTCCACAATGGCCAAGACCAGAGAGCTGTGTAAGGACATCAGGGATACAATTGTAGACCTGCACAAGGCTGGGATGGGCTACAGGACAATAGGCAAGCAGCTTGGTGAGAAGCGCAATTATTAGAAAATTGAAGAAGTTCAAGATGACGGTCAATCACCCTCGGTCTGGGTCTCCATGCAAGATCTCACCTCATGGGGCATCAATGATCATGAGGAAGGTGAGTGATCAGCCCAGAATTACACGGCAGGACCTGGTCAATGACCTGAAGAGAGCTGGGACCACAGTCTCAAAGAAAACCATTAGTAACACACTACGCCATCATGGATTAAAATCCTGCAGCGCACGCAAGGTCCCCCTGCTCAAGCCAGCGCATGTCCAGCCCCGTCTGAAGTTTGCCAATGACCATCTGGATGATCCAGAGGAGGAATGGGAGAAGGTCATCTGGTCTGATGAGACAAAAACAGAGCTTTTTGGTCTAAACTCCACTCGCCGTGTTTGGAGGAAGAAGAAGGATGAGTACAACCCCAAGAACACCATCCCAACTGTGAAGCATGGAGGTGGAAACATCATTCTTTGGGGATGCTTTTCTGCAAAGGGGACAGGACGACTGCACCGTATTGAGGGGAGCATGGATGGGGCCATGTATCGCGAGATCTTGGCCAACAACCTCCTTCCCTCAGTAAGAGCATTGAAGATGGGTCGTGGCTGGGTCTTCCAGCATGACAACGACCCGAAACACACAGCCAGGGCAACTAAGGTGTGGCTCCGTAAGAAGCATCTCAAGGTCCTGGAGTGGCCTAGCCAGTCTCCAGACCTGAACCCAATAGAAAATCTTTGGAGGGAGCTGAAAGTCCGTATTGCCCAGTGACAGCCCCGAAACCTGAAGGATCTGGAGAAGGTCTGTACAATGTGATTTTCTGGATTTTTGTTTTAGATTCCGTCTCTCACAGTTGAAGTGTACCTATGATAAAAATTACAGACCTCTACATGCTTTGTAAGTAGGAAAACCTGCAAAATCGGCAGTGTATCAAATACTTGTTCTCCCCACTGTATGTAGCATTCCTATAACCCTTTTTCTTTAAGAACCATGGTAGGTGCACATGTTTTCATTGATCTGAATTTCAATAAAATCATCAGGATCAAATCATTTTGTACATGCATCCATTTATTTTATGAATGTTCACATTTAGCCCAGCGATATTTCTGAATGTCCAAAGTCTGCCAATTTGGGGCATATTATTAGAACCAATGAACAAACAAGGTCATTTAGATGAAAAGAGGGGTTTGGCAGTAAGTTGAAATGATATGGAGACATCCACAGTGAGTTGTCAATCAAATCACTGAGTGAGCACGGGAGATGAGATATAATACTAGAGGGGGATGATAACAGAGTGTCACGCGTGCTGTAGGTGGGTGTAGTGGTGGAATCAAACGCAGAACACCGAAGGATAGTCCAACAGACTTTAGTCAATCTCCAAACAGGAAAATATGACACGACTTGCCCGAAGGCAAAAATTACGCACGAAGGCGAATAAACAAAAAGCGCACTAACAGGTGCGTAACACTCCAACGCAGTGGAGGAAAGCTCAACCGAGCGAAATAGCGAAAATAAGCCCAACACACGACAGACCAAAATCAATAACACACAACACTAGACAAACACAACGAGAAACTTATAGGACACTAATTACGCTAAACGAGAACAGGTGTCACAACAAACAGACAAAAGCAAACGAACATGAAACATACAACGGTGGCAGCTAGTATTCCGGAGACAACGAACACCGAAGCCTGCCCGAACAAGGGAGAGAGGCAGCCTCGGCCGAAACCGTGACAGTACCCCCCCCTTGACGCGCGGCTCCAGACGTGCGCCGACTCCGGCCTCGGGGACGACCCGGAGGACGCGGAGCAGGGTGCGTCGGGTGCCCACGATGGAATTCCGTCAGGAGAGACGGGTCCAAAATGTCTCTCCTCGGCACCCAGCACCGCTCCTCCGGACCGTACCCCTCCCACTCCACTAGATATTGGAGACCCCCCATCCGACGTCTCGAATCCAAGATGGACCTCACGGAGTACGCCGGTGCCCCCTCGATGTCCAATGGGGGCGGAGGAGTCTCCCTGATCTCACTTTCTTGGAGTGGGCCAGCTACCACCGGCCTGAGAAGGGACACATGGAACGAGGGGTTAATACTTTTATATTCAACAGGTAGTTGTAATTTGTAACACACCTCGTTCAACCTTCCCAGGACTTTAAATGGCCCTACAAACCGCCGACCCAGTTTCCGACAGGGCAGGCGGAGGGGCAGGTTTCTGGTAGAGAGCCAGACTCGATCACCAGGTGCGTACACCGGTCCCTCACTGCGGTGGAGATCGGCGCTCGCCTTATGACGTCGGAGGGCCCGCTGCAGGTGGACGTGTGCAGCGTTCCATGTCTCCTCCGAGCGCCGCGCCCACTCATCCACCGCAGGAGCCTCGATCTGGCTCTGCTGCCAAGGTGCCAGAACCGGCTGGTAACCTAACACACATTGGAAAGGGGTTAGGTTAGTGGAGGAATGGCGTAGGGAATTCTGGGCCATTTCGGCCCAGGGAACGTACCTTGCCCACTCCTCCGGCCGGTCCTGGCAGTATGTTCTAAGAAACCTACCCACATCCTGGTTCACACGTTCCACCTGCCCATTACTCTCCAGGTGGTAACCCGAGGTGAGGCTCACCGAGACCCCCAACCGCTCCATAAAAGCTCTCCAGACTCTGGAGGTAAATTGGGGACCTCGATCAGACACAATATCCTCGGGTACCCCGTAGTGCCGGAACACATGGGTGAATAGGGCTACGGCAGTTTGCAGGGCGGTAGGAAGGCCCGGCATGGGGAGCAAACGACAGGCCTTAGAAAACCGGTCCACAACGACCAGTATAGTGGTATTCCCCTGTGAAGGAGGAAGGTCAGTAAGGAAATCCACCGAGAGGTGGGACCATGGTTGTTGTGGAACGGGCAGGGGTAGTAACTTACCCCTAGGCAGATGTCTAGGCGCCTTACACTGGGCGCACACCGAGCAGGAGGAAACATAAACCCTCACATCCTTTGCCAACGTGGGCCACCAGTACTTGGCACTAAAAGACAGTGCACTGTCCGGCCGATACCCGGGTGTCCAGAGGAGGGTGACGTGTGAGCCCAATAGATCAATCGATCCCGAACCTCGAGCGGAACGTACTTCCGACCCTCCGGGCATTGTGGTGGACTAGGGTCGGTGCGTAACGCCCGCTCGAGCTCAGCATCGACCTCCCACACTACCGGTGCCACCAGACACGACTCCGGCAGTATGGGAGTGGGCTCCACGGACCTCTCCTCCGTGTCATACCGCCGAGACAGCGCATCTGCCTTACCGTTCTGTGACCCAGGGATGTACGTGATCTTAAATGTAAACCGGGTCAAAAACATATTCCATCTAGCCTGCCGAGGGTTTAGCCTCCTCGCTGCCCGGATGTACTCCAGGTTACGGTGGTCCGTCAAAATGAGGAAAGGGTGTTGAGCCCCCTCAAGCCAGTGCCTCCACACCTTTAGGGCCTGTACCACGGCTAACAGCTCCCTGTCCCCTACGTCATAGTTTCGCTCCGCCGGACTGAGCTTCTTGGAATAAAAGGCACAGGGGCGGAGTTTAGGTGGCGCGCCTGACCGTTGTGAAAGCACGGCTCCTATACCGGCCTCAGACGCGTCCACCTCTACCTGAAATGGTAAAGAGGGATCCGGATGCGCCAGCACTGGAGCCGAGGTAAACAGGTCCTTCAGCCTCCCAAACGCCCTGTCCGCCTCGGCAGACCACTGCAGACGCACCGGACCCCCCTTCAAGAGAGACGTGATGGGAGCTGCCACCTGTCCAAAACCCCGGATAAACCTCCTGTAGTAATTCACAAACCCCAAAAACTGCTGCACCTCCTTCACAGTGGTTGGTGTTTGCCAATTACGCACGGCTGACACCCGGTCTACCTCCATCTTCACCCCTGACGCAGACAACTGATACCCCAAAAAGGAGACCGACTCCTGGAAAAACAGACACTTCTCTGCCTTAACATACAGGTCGTGCTCCACCAGCCTCCGCAACACTCTGCGCACCAGGGCCACATGCTCGACACGGGTAGGCGAGTACACGAGAATGTCATCTATGTACACAACGACCCCCTGCCCCTGCATGTCCCTGAAGATCTCATCCACGAATGATTGGAAAACTGACGGAGCGTTCATCAACCCGTATGGCATGACAAGATACTCGTAATGCCCCGAGGTGGTACTAAAGGCTGTCTTCCATTCATCGCCCTCCCTGATGCGCACCAAGTTGTACGCGCTCCTGAGATCTAATTTAGTGAAGAAACACGCCCCATGCAAGGACTCAGTCATGGTCGCAATCAGCGGGAGTGGATAACTGTACTTCACCGTGATCTGATTGAGACCACGGTAATCGATGCACGGGCGTAAACCCCCATCCTTCTTCTTCACAAAAAAGAAACTCGAGGACGCAGGGGAAGTGGAAGGCCGTATGTATCCTTGTCTCAGAGATTCGTCTATGTAAGTCTCCATAGCTTTCTTCTCCTCCTGAGACAGAGGATACACATGGCTCCGTGGGAGCGCAGCTCCTGCCTGGAGGTCTATCGCACAATCTCCCTGCCTATGGGGTGGCAACCGCGTCGCCCTCGACTTACTAAACGCGATGGCCAAATCCCCATACTCAGGGGGAACGTGCAATGCGGGCACCTGGTTTGGACTCTCCACCGAGGTAGCCCCTACGGAAACGCCCAAACATCGACCCACACACTGGGCAGACCACTCCATCAGAGCCCTCTCCTGCCACGAAATAAATGGGTTATGGGTACTCAACCAGGGCATGCCCAGCACCACCGGATACGCAGGCGAGTCAATCAGAAATAGCTGAATCATCTCCTGATGACCCCCCTGCGCACACATCCTAAGTGGCGCAGTGACCTCCCTGATCAAGCCCGCACCCAACGGACGGCTATCTAGGGCATGAACGGGGAAAGGGACATCAACAGGAAGAAGGGGAATCCCTAAGGCTAAACAAAACTTCTTATCAACAAAATTCCCAGCCGCGCCTGAATCTACCAGCGCCTTATGCTGGGAATGAGGTGCTACCTGTGGAAAACTCACAGGTATACAGAAATGTGCAACAGAGAGCTCTGGGTGAGTGGGGCGCCTACTCACCTGGAAGGAATCCCCAGTGCGGGACCTGTCGTCCTCTCCCCTAGGAGGCCATCCCCAGCACCTAGCCGCGGTGTGTCCTCCCCGACCACAGTTGGTGCAGGAGATGGACCCCCTAGTAAGCCGACCCCTCCTCTCTCTAGCGCCAGCGCCCCCGAGCTCCATGGGGCACGGCTCGGAGGCGCTGGAGGGTGAAATGGACGGACCCCCCTCGGGACGTCCGCGGGTAGCTAGCAGGTTATCCAGCCTGATGGACATGTCGACCAACTGGTCGAACGAGAGGCTGGTGTCCCTACAGGCCAGCTCCCGACGGACGTCCTCTCGTAGACTACATCTGTAGTGATCGACGAGAGCCCGATCATTCCACCCTGCATCTGCCGCTAGAGTACGGAATTCGAGGGCGAACTCCTGGGCACTCCTCCTCCCCTGCCGGAGGAAGACCAGACGCTCCCCCGCCGCTTTCCCCTCCGGGGTATGGTCAAACACCGCCCTGAAGCGGCGGGAGAACTCGTCGTACGTGATGGTGTCCGCGTCGATCCTCCTCCACTCCGCGTTGGCCCATTCCAATGCCTTCCCGGAAAGGCAGGAGATCAGGGCGGACACGCTCTCATGTCCCGAGGGCGCCGGGTGCACGGTGGCCAGGTACAGCTCCACCTGGAGAAGGAATCCCTGACACCCGGCCGCGGTCCCATCGTAGGCCCTCGGGAGCGAGAGTCGGACTCCTCGGGGTTCCGGTGCGGGAATGGGCGGACTGGCCGATGGTGCTGGCAGGGAGGGTGGCGGTGGAGGCGTTCCCCAGCCTCGGATGGTGGTGATCACCTCCTGCAGTGCGGTCCCCATCTGCAGGATCTGGTCCCGTTGTTCCCGGACCTGGTCCTCCAGCGTCGTCTGGGCTGCTGCGGCTCCTGCTGATTCCATTTATGGTGTGTTATTCTGTCACGCGTGCTGTAGGTGGGTGTAGTGGTGGAATCAAACGCAGACAACCGAAGGATAGTCCAACAGACTTTAGTCAATCTCCAAACAGGAAAATATGACACGACTTGCCCGAAGGCAAAAATTACGCACGAAGGCGAATAAACAAAAAGCGCACTAACAGGTGCGTAACACTCCAACGCAGTGGAGGAAAGCTCAACCGAGCGAAATAGCGAAAATAAGCCCAACACACGACAGACCAAAATCAATAACACACAACACTAGACAAACACAACGAGAAACTTATAGGACACTAATTACGCTAAACGAGAACAGGTGTCACAACAAACAGACAAAAGCAGACGAACATGAAACATACAACGGTGGCAGCTAGTATTCCGGAGACAACGAACGCCGAAGCCTGCCCGAACAAGGGAGAGAGGCAGCCTCGGCCGAAACCGTGACACAGAGGTGATTTTTCACTGTTATAAATATCACTTATTCTTTGGAATAAGGATGCAGCGATCAGGCGAGCACCTGATTTGAGCACTTATTTACCTTGATCCCTTTCTGATGATGATTGTGTGGCATCTTGAAAAGGCCCCACTATATCAATGTATATGTTTCTATTACTAAGGGCTTGTTTCTACGTCAGTTTAGAATGAAGCTTTATACTGAAGTAAGTAAATGAAATAGGAAAGTAACATACACACACACACTGGACTGAGGGAAACTGTAGGTTTCTAGTAGGGTAAATCAACTGTAGATTTTATTTAAGATATTAGATCGATATAGAGAGAGGAGAGCGAGAGTGGAGCGAGAAGAAAGCGATGAGAGAGATCGAGATAGAGAGAGCGAAGAGCAGAGAGAGGGCGAGAGAGAGAGGATAGAGGGAGAGAGAGAGAGCAGTCGATCCTAGCTCTCTCTCTCTCTCTCTCTCTCTCTCTTCCTCTTCTCTCTCTCTCTTCTTCTCTAGCTATACTCTCTCTCTCTCTCTCTCTCTCTCTCTCTCTCTCTCACACAGAGGGACCGACCTCTGTTGCTGCAGATCTTGCCATCCGGAGACGTGCATCTCCGCTTGCTCTCCCACGGGCTGATGTCACACTGTAATTCACATTTGTCTCCATGCCAACCGGCCGCACAGTAACAGTTGCCACAGTAACACTGGCCGTGGCCTGGAAGCAGAACAGAATACAACAGTCACACAGAGATGAACAAACGTCTTCACATTTACATAGCATACAACAACAAACCTGTTACCATATATATATATATATATATATATATATATATATATATATATATATATGCCTTATAAACGGTTTATTACTGGACTATTATAAAGTGTTAACGAATCAACATTTCTGTCAACGTAGGTTTCTCCCAGAGGATAATTACACAAGGTACTTTTACAGCCACATAAAGGAATGAAAGTTGTCCCCTTTTACAGTGCCTTCAGAAAGTATTCATATTCATAAATTCAAAATGGATTAAATATTTTTTTTTTCTCACCCATCTAGACAGTACCCGATAATGACAAAGTGAAAACGTTTTTTGAAATGTTTGCAAATGTATTGAAAATGAAATACAGACATACTGTATCTCATTTACATAAGTATTCACACCCCTGAGTCTACCTTTGGCAGCGATTACAGCTGTGAATATTTCTGGGTAAGTCTCTAAGAGCTTTCCACACCTGGATTGTACAACATTTGCCTATTATTGTTTTCAAAATTCTTCACGCTCTGTCCCCAAAAAATCTTCTCACCAAAGTAGTGTACCGTGCCTTTACCAGTCCGGTATTAGCAGACCGATATAGCCCTCTTTAGTGCAGGCAACAAAAAAAACGCAGCACCCAGACCCCCAAACATCTTCCCACGGCTATGGACCCATAACATGATCCAGCCACCACTGTGCTTGAAAATATGGAGAGTGGTACAATGTTGTTGATCCATCCTCAGTTTTCTCCTATCACAATCATTAAACTCGGTAAGTATTATAAAGTCACCATTGGCCTCATGGTGAAATCCCTGAGCGGTTTCCTTCCTCTCCAGCAACTGAGTTAGGAAGGACGCCTGTATCTTTGCAGTGAATGGGTGTATTGATACACCATCCAAAGTGTAATTAATAACTTCACCATGCTCAAAGGGATATTCAGTGTCTGCTTTTTTTATTTTTAGCCATCTACCAATAAGTGACCTTCTTTGCGAGGCAATGGAAAACCTCCCTGGTCTTTGTGGTTGAATCTGTGTTTCAAATTCACTGCTCGACTGAGGGACCTTACAGATAATTGTATGTGTGGGGTACAGAGATGAGGTAGTCATTCAAAAATTATGTTAAACACTATTATTGCACACAGAGTGAGTCCATGCAACGTATTTGTAACTTGTTAAGCAGTTTTACTCCTGAACTTATTTAGGCTTGCCATAACAAAGGGGTTGAATACTTACTGACTCAAGACATTTCAGCTTTTCATTTTTAATTAACTTTGTAAAAATTTCGAAAAACTGATTTCCGTTTTGACATTATGGGGTATTGTGTGTAGGCCAGTGACAAAAATATAAATTTAATCAAATTCAGACTGTAACACAACAAAATGTGAAACAAGTCAAGGGGTGAAGTACTTTTATATTTCTGTATATTCTGGTGATTAGGTACACCTTTAATTACAGTTATTACAGACACAGGGTGCGTCCCAAAAGGCACCATATTACCTATAAATATAAATAAATAATGAATTGGGTGCCATTTGGGATGCAGACACTGTCAAGCTCTGTGCTTTGAATCCCCTGAAACAATTTAATGACTTTGTCTCTCACAAAGGACTGATGGGGAGAGAACATAATGTGATTTATTCCAAATTAAATTAGCAAATGGTTAATTAAAGTTGACAACCAGTGGATCCCAAAACTTCAGGAACCGTTAGGATAAGTATACTAACACCACAAAGTGATTCAGACAGCATTAGGTCAATCTTCAATTAACTTCCTGTTAACCTTTTCACAAATTAAGCTTTACAGATTGCACTGTCAGAAATGCATTTGATTTTGCAAAGCCTGTGGTCTCCCACCGGAGACTGTCGTTCAATCCCTGTGTCTACCCTTTGGACTTTGTCTCCCCCTCTATTTCTAACCTGTCTGAAAGGAATATGGAATTCCACTTTGAAAAAAAGAAGTGTGTTTGATTTGCACAGGCACAGCATGTCCCAGATGGAGGGAGTTGACACTTGCTCCTGGTTGCGTGGATTGGATTACTTTTCAGAACTAAACGGGTGACACCACAGGACTGCCAGTTCCAAAATCTAGTGTCAACTCCCTCTATATAGGGAAGATGCTGCTTCTTCTGAACGTGCAATGTTAAGCCACTTTCTGCAATTGACTGAATCCCAGCTAGAGTAACACCACCAGGGTGGGAGTAAGAGAGCTTACCCCAGCCAATATTGGAGACAGTTTCCATCAAATACAACATTCCCAAATCCTGCATTAGGTCTATAACAGTACAGCGATTTGTTTAAATGATATTCAAAACCAGGTCAGAGAAAACAATTTGATGATAACACAGTCTGTCTCAGTGAAAACAATGGCATGTTTTGATGTTCGAGGACATATTCTAGTGGCTACCTACACGCACACACCACATACAGGCTCAGGGGCGTACCTCCACACACCTCTCCGGTGTCCTCGTCCAGACATTCGCTGTCGTCACACTCACAGAAACGTCCTGTCACCAGACCCCTGCCATCGGGGTTGTGACACATGCAGCTGCCGCAGTGACAGGAGCCTGTCAGAGACACAAACATCTGTGTGTGTGTGTGTGTCTGTGGTGTGTGTGTGTGTCTCATCTGTCTGTCTGTCTTGATGTGATGCACATTAGGGGGTGAGTACACAGCTGGTTTTGCAGATGTGCTTTAGGAGGGGTTGTGTGTCTCCACATGTGTGTTGGGGCCTCAGGCTGGGAAGCCTGTGCAGTGTTTGTGTGTGCATGTGCTTTAGGGCCGTAAGGCAGAGTGACAGCATGCTGTGACCGGATTTGCATTCACACATGCTGATCAGTCTTGCAATCAGGCCACACACGTATTCACAAAAACACAGACACACAGACACACACACGGTCACAGGCAAGATCATTAGGGTTATCCACAGGTGGGTATGGTCAGTCTGAAAAAATATGCTTGTGCCTTCAGATGTGCATGCATGCCCATAGAGCTCGGCTCAAAAGTAGTGCACTATATAGTGAATAGGGTGCCATTAGGGACAAAGCCACAGCTGTTTCACCTGTGTCTGTGTAATTTTAGTTGTGTACCTGTGCTTACATAAGAGAGAGTGAATTACAGAGACAACACAAAGATAATCATGCATGTGTCATACCTTTGTTAGCGAGAAAGAGAAAGGTGAGATACCTGTGTCAATATAAAAGAGGTTAAGGTGTGACGGCATAGTACAGTATACCTGCGTTGGAGCACACTACTCCCTGTGGGTTTCTGCACAGCTTCTTGCTCTTCTTGTTGGTCAGGTTACAGTCTTCCTGGTACTGGCAGGCCTCCCCGAACCAGTCCTCATCACACTCACACTTCCCACAGTGACACACACCATGGCCTACAGGGGGAGGGAGATAGCAGTCAGATCAAACACTGTGAGAGGTGTAGGCCTAAGTTATAGCATTTACGGACAATGGAGCATTTTGATCAGCTGATGTTGAAGGCACAGCACATAGTGTACACATTGAAGTTCTCACACGCACAGACACTCACCTGCGCACAGACATAATCATACATTACACATGTATGTGTACACGTGGTTGCTCGCACGCAGGCACACGCGCACACACACACACACACACACACACACAGCCTTGCATTAGCCAGTAAACTGAAAGGGAGACACTTGGCATCCCCTCAGTTCTGCTAAGATGCTAAAGCTCTTCTGACTAACCAGAGGACGCAATAGTCCTTATTACATACATTACACCAGTAAGCCATGACGATTAGGATTTATACTGCAAAGTATTCCCTCTAATTGTAATATTATTCAAATGTCACATCTTAAAACAAAGTGTGGGGAGAGAAGAGGGTTTAGGTAGAATGACACATTTTAAAGAGTCTCCCAGGTCTAGGCCGTCTTGCTCTAAAGGCAGACCTACATTAGATTAGTAACTGTTGTAATAAGGCCAGCAGGATAATAGTCTTAACTGCCTCTGACACCATTACAGACATGATTGATAGACAAAAATAAGGATTTTAATTCTTCCTAATCAAAAAGGGTTCTGTTGCCTTAAGGTCCTCTCTCTCACACACACTTTCTCTCTCTCATTGATCTCCCTTTCTCTCTCTTTATCTCTCTCACACTCTTTCCCTCTCTCTTCCCCATTCACTCTCTCTTCCTGTTTCAGCAGATTAGGAAACATGACAACTATGAAAAGGGAAGAAATACCCAGATAGCACATAACATAACCATATGCTTCTTAGAGTTTGGCGAGCTTTGTGAGATTGGTTGTCCTTTGGTTATTTTGTATACAACCTTGCCACAACTTTCTGGGAATGGTGCAGGATAGTTGCTTGGCTTTGGAACATTCTACGCACGTTTAAGGAACTTGACAAAAAAACTATATTTTATTACTATTTCATTACTTTAAGTTAACAGAATGTTTCCTAAAAGTTCAAACAAGGTTACATTTAATGTCAATGTTGGTAATGTTCTAGGAACATTCTCCAACGGGTTTGACACTGGGAATGTTCTGAAATAGTTCAGAGAACGTTAAGAAACAAAGTTATTCTGTGGGAATTTTAGTACTTCAGCATAACGTTTCCTACAGGTTCTTGTGGTTCTATTCAAAGTCATGTTCTCTAATTGTTTTCAGAGAACGTTAAGAAAACTTTCCATAAAAACTTTAGTAACATTTAGAGAACGTTCTAAGAATGTTATTTAAAAACATATACATTGTTTCTCAGCATCAACAAAACTCTATATCCTCTATCTCAGGGCACTCCAACCCTGTTCTTGGAGAGTTACCCTCTTGTAAGTTTTTGCTCCAACCCCAGTTGTAACTAACCTGATTCAGCTTATCAACCAGCTAATAATTAGAATCAGGTGGGCTAAATTAGGGTTGGCGTCACACCCTGATCTGTTTCACCTGTCTTGTCTCCACCCCCCCACCAGGTGTCTCCCATTTGTTCCCATTATCCCCTATGTATTTATACCAGTGTTTTCTGTCTGCCTGTTTGTCTTGTCAAGCCTACCAGCTTGTTGTTCTGCACCCTAGTCCCTATTTTCTAGTTCTCCCAGTTATTACCTTTTCTGTCTGCCCTGACACTGAGTCCGCCTGCCATACCATTCAGCCTGCCCTGACATCGAGCCTGCCTGCCGCCCTGTACCTTTCGGACTCAGACCTGTTTTACGAACTTCTGCCTGTCCTCGACCAGCCTCCTGCCTGCCCCTTGTATTTTAATAAATATCATAGACTCTAACCATCTGCCTCCTGTGTCTGCATCTGGGTCTCATCCTATGTCGTTATAGTTGAAGTGAAAACCTACAGGACGGTAGCGCTCCAGCAACAGGGTTGGAGAGCCCTGCTCTATTTTATTAATTAAGTGTGATCTTAATGAGTGCTTGTTTCCTTTGAAATGGGGTCTGTTTGAATAGACTAAAATGAACAGCTTTGTGTGAGTAAAAAAACATGGCATGCTAGCAGTGCTATTAAAAGTCTTATTGAAACATGTTCTTGGAAAGTTATATAATTACCTTCAAAAAAACGATAATTTCCGTTCTCAGAACATTGATAAAACCTCAAGGGAACCATAGTAAAAAGGACTCAGAACCTTTGCCCAAAACAGGCAAAATGTTCACTTCAGTCCTCAAAACAAAACAAAAAAACGTTCAGTTTTACCGGTCAGGAAACGTATGGCTTCGTTCCCAGAACCAATGGGAAACTAAAAACGTACGCTTCCACAATTTCCAAGGAACTAAATGTGCTAGTTGGATACATCATGTTAAAACATATTTTCCAATAAATGTGTATGAAACCATATTTGTTGTGTGGTTTCACAGCCATATTTGTTTGAATCACTTTAAGCTTCTGTATAACACATTTCAGTGGTGAAGATTAGCGGTTGTTTGCTGTAATCAAGTATATCTGTTTTCCGTCTCTGAAATTGAGGGCCCAAACAACATTTAGGTATTCTGAGGGTTCGTGAAACTGCTTTGGCTGTGTACCATTACTCATTATTCTAATAGCTGAAGTGAGCAATGGTGAACACAGGGGGGAATTCATACAATGCAAATTAAGTCTGTTGACAAGTTATTATAAGTGTTGCTCTAGTCGCATTTTGCTGGGGCCTTGCGTGTCATACTCCATCATTCGTCTGCCTCATCCATCATGGAAATGTGATGTCCTCTTCAAGGGCTATCCATCAGGCCATAAAAATAGGCCTTGTCCTCATCACGCTCCTCTCATTACTGATCTGCCCCACCAGACTGCAGAGGGGCTTTTTATACCCAGGTTATTTCATTTAATGTAGTGTTGTTCTATCCAAAACCCTTATCTTAAAAATGCCTTGTAAAAAGTGGAAATGTCCACAATCAAATGTCTCCATTCTATCCCCTTGTTGCTTTTGTTTAAGTACATAACTCAAGTTCAAGCTCAAGTATTTACTGATTTGGTGCTCTTGTATTTTATTCTATCCTTCCTAGAAGAAAGGGAAAAAATGCAGCACTAATCTTAAATGCTAAGTATTTTGGCAATGTAGCAATCAAAAATAAGTAATTTACTCAAACAACTGAAAAACAACCCAAAAGTATGGAGAAATGTTTGTTATCTAGATGTAAACCAGATCTATATTATTATTATTATTATTATTAATATTATTACGAAGTACAACAATAGTGGGTAGCTGTGGACAGAATGTGTCCTGTGGGTAGCCGAAGAGCAGCTGTATTCTCAACAACACTAGCTTCTCTGAGTGTTAAAGCTGTCATCAAAGCTGTCAGCACATCACAGACCAACCCAGCCCCAGAATATGGCGTCCATCTGAATAACCTTCAACTGAAAGACACATAGCCAAGCCCAGGCAGGCTGAGGGTTCCACCATCACAGCTGTACATATTACTATAGTATATTGAAGTGTTAGAACAACTTATTGAGTACTAGCCCACTCCCACATCTTTTTGTGCTCTTGCCAACTTCATTGCTGTCATTGTCAAGCCAAAAATGTCAATGTTTTTTTCTACGGGGCCCATATGTTGATGGAGGACAGAGGAAACTTGAAGTGTCAAAACTTGAAATTAGTTGAACTTTTGAAGGATAAACAGATGCATGGGGAGGTTTGTGCATTTCATCACTCTGTGTGGCTGGTGCCTAGAAGATAGCAGAGCTTGCTGTCCCTCCTCAGTTTATCTAGACCTATCTCCTTGGTAGCAAATACCCTTAGCCTTAGGGTGCCCAGACCCTTCTTTACTGATTGACAGACAGATTTAGCCAATGACACACTCTGACAGATAGACCCAGCCAATGATGCCTCGGCAGACACAGATTAAGCCAATAAGGCCTTGGGAAATACTTTATCAAGCCCAGCAGCTGTGGGAGTTAAAGATAGGTGATTCACCGTCAGATAAACTGTTGATGGGGAGAGAAGCAATGAGTCATTCAGGAGGCTAATTTCAGTGTTTTTATTCCAGTCACGTCTTTCCTGTCCACTTAAATGGCGGATATATAATTTAGATAGAGGTGAACAACAAAGTGCTTGTTTGAAACACAGTTGAAGATAATAATGAAGCAATCTTGAGTGATATAACCTACCCTGACTGTTCAGCAAGAAATGGACAAAGATGGTGATGTGTCATTCTTGTTATGAGCTACTCATTGGACTTTACCATGACACATCCAGCTGTATATGGAGTGGATTTCAACAATATATAAACACAGGGATACGTAACGTTTAAATTGCTCATGAAATTAGCTAAAAAGAGAGAACAGGACTGTAATTAAGAATCTCAAACTAGTTTAAGTTAATTCAACCTCCACAAGTAAGCATTTCACTGTTAGTCTACACCTGTTGTTTATGAAGCATGTGACAAATACCATTTCATTTAATTCAAGACTATTATACAAAAACGCTGAGGACCCCAGCGCATAATCTTTGAACCCAACCCTGTCTAGCTGAAAACCTGGTTCAAATTAGGAAAAATGTTTGATTATCTTCTGTGTTCATTTACTGCTTGGTTCCCAGGTTTTATAGTCTAATGGCATTTTTCCATTCAATTTGTTTAACTCACTATCCATATTAAACACAGAACAATTTCGGCAAGTAATTATTCCATGATTGCTCTCTTTTCATCTGTGATGCGGAGCGTGAAACGGCTGCACGTCAGGTCGTGTTCTTAAGCGAGAGAGGAAGGAGACACGTCTCAAGTAATAATTCATCCTTATAGAGCCGCAGAAGACTGAGAAAGAGACCAGAGCCATAGATAGACCACGAATTAGAATGACAAGAACAGTAAGTTAGTCATTCTAATTCTATGGGATCAAGACGCATTGTGATGTTTGTTTCTTCTTCATAGATGCCATGGGCAATAACTGTCCACTGATTTTCCAGAACTGTACAAAATGTTGCGAATCTGAACTGCTGGAAAGATAATTAGAATCCAAGTATATAATAGAAGGATAACAGCCAGGTACAGTTAAAGAGATTATGCAGAGTTAAAAATAAAAAAATTCAGCCAGTAATTCTGACAGCGCTAAAAAGCCAAAAGGGTCCCCGAAAATTGTGTACATCACCACAGTATCACGGTATTACTCATGATCATTGCGCTGGCACATGGCTGCAGTGTTTCAAGGGTGAAACGGTCTAATGTGAAACCTCCTTGTGACTCTTTGAGAAACCTGAACATACATCAGCTCTCTCCTCTCCTTCATAGCCACACTGGACCCATTAGGTGAGTCATCATACAAGCACAGAGTGCAGTGCATCACATCTGCATTAGAGCACATCAAAATATACACCAGGAAGGAAAGAAATGGAGAATGAGGGACAGGGTAATAAGGTATAATAATAAGTACAGCGCAGTACTGTAGAATCCTTGGTGCAAATTCAGAGGCCAGTAAATCCATAGTCGACAAAGGGTGCTGTTCTATTGGTGGACAAAGGGAGTGGACATTTTCAATAACATCAACAATTGCAATGACATCAAATGCCAGAGGAGAGCATTCCTAGGGGGCAAACTGGCATCCTTATGACGTCTCGGTCAGGTTGTATACTGGTTGTAAAAATATGTTATTTTCCCGCAACAAATAAGATAAGTCTTTATGTGGTTGTAATCTGGTTATCTAACCAGACAACAACCAGAATATTACGTCTTTCCTGTGACGTCTGGGTTGTGGACCATAATGCCAAAATATCTTCTACAATAGTTTGCCTCAAGTTTGGAGGATTTAAGATTCTAGTTCAACTGAGCCATGGAAACTCTCTCTTTCCTGCATTCAGGGAATGTAGGGAAACCTTTCTCTTACAGCACACTGACGTGTACTCAACTTGACGAAGCTGATGCATCTGCCAGACACCCACAACTGTTGTGTCCAAAGGAGTTGGAACTACTCAGAGGCAGGCAGGGGGGGGATTACAGATTAAGCCAAGCCCAGAATTACATAAACTTCCCTGGGGTAGGATCGCCTCGTGCCGTGGCAGGGCTGCCTATAGGCATGACTGCCTGGAACAGAACAGTGAAGGAGACTCTGAACCCCCAAAGCCTTCAGAGAGAGAGATAGAACTGAACACATATCTATAGACCGTTCTGACAGAGCACAGCAAGGGCAGTCAATCAGCAGAAAAGAGATGATAAAATCCACACAAATCATAAAGTTACAGATTCTTCCGGTCTGGAGAGACATTTAGCTTTTTGCTCAAGGTCCTCTGGGGGAAGAGAAGGAGAGTTGGCGTACCAAAAGGGTTGAGAGGATCTGACCTGTTAGATAATTAATTTTCCCGTGCAAAATTAATTTTTTGGGGTAACAATTACTGGGTAATTACCTTACTGTGATTGTTTTAAATTACAATTGTCAAAAAGAAACAAAAATAGCTTCTTAGCAAGAGCAATTTCTCAAGCAATAATTTTGTTAGGACTGGGGAGGGGAAAACTGAAAACTAGCTGTTATTGGCAGAGAGGTTTAGAACTCTCTTATTGGTCTATTAACTAATTTGCCACCTGGTGATGTCACCAGGCAGGCCAAAACTCCATCCCTGCAAAACAGGCTGAAATTTCAGGCGGTCTTTTCAAACAGCTCTTACACTAAAAGTGCATTATAATATATCGACAATATATCGCTACTTGCAAGACCGAAATACCATTATCATCTGCCAAGGTGAAAACCTTTCTTCAGTAAGGAAGTCATGGAGTTCACTCACTGCATCTGTTTATGCAGCATTGCAAAACACCTTGATCTTGATGGGAAGGTTGACCTACCTACAACAATTTGCAACGTTTTTAACATCTTCAAACAACATTTCACTCGCTAGCCTCATCCGATGATTACTTCAAGAATGAGCTTTGCACATAATTCACATTCAGATCACCTTGAACGGGCTGCTAGTAACCTGTTGCGCCCCAGGTCTTACTTAGTGTGTCTGACAGTGGAAAAGATTAGGCATCACAGAGGAGGGTCAGATGTGAGAGAGAGAGAGAGAGAGAGAGAGAGAGAGAGAGAGAGAGAGAGAGAGAGAGAGAGCCAGGGATTTCACATGGCTCATTTAAAAACGGAATAATCCTGTGAGGGAAAATAAGAAAAAAAAAAACTGTGAAAGGAATGGAAACATTGCCACGTCGAGTCTCCATAAATCTAGGAGGACCAAGTTTAGAACAAAAACACATTATACCAAAGGAATAAAATGTTTTAATTGTGCACCAATTAAAGGTTACTACACCAACAATGGTAAAAGTTATTTGAAGTTGTGGCTGTTTACATACAATGCATCACTAAATATGACATTATTTATGGCATACTCTCCTATTTTATGTTGTTTAATACTGTTGTTTTTCTTTTGTGATTGTATTAAGCCAATAGACAGAAATATACAAGGTTGACCAGGGACAAACCAAGACAAAAACAAAACACTGAGTCAAATAACAGGTAAGTCCTGCACAGCTGTTGAACGGCTGTTGCCTGTTGCTAAATGTCATCACCGTGAATGTACCAACTCAAAAATTCTGTCTAGAGGGTTTGGGATTTAGAAATTAGAGCACACAAAATATGTAGAGATGCTGTTTGGTCAATCATTTTTGAACCAATACTTTTCTGCTTACAAGACTAAACCCAGCTGCACTGGACCGCAACAGAAACATTATAAAAACTGAACTGCTGTCTACTGTGTAAAAGCAGGGGACTGAAGTGGCCAGGAATATTCAAACTTTACGCCCCAAATACTACTCTACTTACTGGGCAAGTCTCGAGGAAAACCCAGATGGTATTCTATAGCTGGACTTTTGTGTAAACTTTTATGTACAACTGCACAACTAAAAAACACATATGACCAACAAACTGTAGACCATTATCTGTGCTAAGGAAAATGGAAAGGAGGCCCAAAGGCTGCAGTAGCATATTTCCCCCCAGTAATGGCAATTTATACGGAATAGGGTGACATTTAGGACTCACACATGATCCTGGGAGAGCTCGGCAGAGTGCCCACCAGATTTAAATGGGCCCTTTTTGCAGACAGAATTATGTAGCCCGGGGGATTTCAGGGAAAATTAGGAATCTGCAACCTCTGAGTGAACTCTGTTACCTCTTTGTAATAATGATATTAAATTAGACTACCGTCATACTATTCAAAAGCATGCCATGCCTTACTGTTATCAACAAAAACTATGCACGTTGTGTCTTTCTATTTGCACAACAGATGGACAGAAGAGATAAGGACTTAATGTGAATCAAGCCGCCAGGTGGATTGAGATCGCAAACTCTCAATCTTTTAAGAAATGTCACATGATCAGACATTTTGCAGTGACAAACAGCTATTTCAATATGCAAAACATACATGTATCTTGCTAATGAACATCTCTTGCGGATTTAAGCCAATTCATTCTCAGAAAACTTCAACAGTGAGTCGCTACAGTCGCTACTTGTTGCTTTGGCTAGTGGTATATCTAGGCCATGTGTCGCTGATGAATAGCATCCAAAGGAAAAGCTCAAGTTCAATGTCAGCCCAGCTAATGTGTTTGGAGGAGGAAAACCCATAGTTTAGCCCTAAGGAGGAAAATCCATAGAATCTTATCTGGGGGCAGTTGGGAGAATCAGAGATAAGGGAGCCACAGGCAGAAGAGCATGGATGCTGGGCACAGAACAGCGGAGAGAGAATATGGCAAATGCATTGTAGTGAGAGAGAAATGCTCAATTTGTTCGTCTTCTTACTGTTTTGAATAATATTGACATGTGAGCGTGGTTGTAGGCAGTTACACACATGTGGATGAATATGCAAGTGTGTGTGTGTGTGTGTGTGTATATGTGTGTGAAAAAGTCTAATTCCAGACATTGGCCCATTTTGCAGTGTGTGTATGGGTGAGTGAAACCCCATTATCAGGCTGAGGCAGAGCCTTTACTCTCCGGAAACGTGAACCATAATGAGCTCCTCACCAGCTCCCAACCTGTCTGCCCAAATAAATCACTCTCCCCATCACACACAAGCAAGCATGCAGGTGCACACCAGTGGCGGTCGGTTCCGTTTAAGATTAGGGAGGACAATTTTGTTTTTAGGAACATGACTTTATTTCTATTACATCATACTGGATGACTGTCATTTATATTGCATTCACCCAACTCAATGTAACATCGATAGGTTCAAGCTACTACATGATACTCAAAATTTCCCTATGCCCATCATGAGGTTGCTACAACCTAGACTACGAATGAAAGTTTACAATGTAGGTGCACAGTTCAAGAGACAAATTTGAGTAATCAAGGTGACAGACAGTAACACATTCAATAATGCCTTGCAGACTCTTGCCTGCATTTAGCTGATCTAGGGTGTAATCATTAGTCCAAACAGTTGCAAACTGGTATATTTATCCCCATTTCGTTCTGTTTGCTTGCGTTTAAGAAACATTTTTCAACAGAATCAGCAGAATCAATACACCCCTGATCACCCGCACACACAGTTGACTTTATGACTTTGCTTGTTGTATAATTCCTTCTCTCATCTACACGCCCTCCTCCTTTTCCCTTCACTTGTGGACTTCAGCGCACAACACAACAGCTGTCTGTGACCTTTCCAAGCCAAACCTTCATACCATAACCGCTAATCGATACACACAGCCTACATCGTTCTCACCATATTGGCTAACATCATAGTCAACATAGCTACTAGATCTAACGTGTTAGTAAACCCACAACAATCATGCAGTACAGTGTACAGCAAGCGGTTTAGCAGTTACACCGGCGGGCCCCGGTGGCAATAAATTAATAAAACCTAAAGCTTACCATGAGTTCCAGTGTTGGATAGCCTTAGCCAGCTAGCTAACATAGAATCCCTCTCTGTTTGAGCTGGGTGTTTGAGTAGGCTAAACTAGTTAGCTGCATTCGCTAGCTAAGTAAGTGAAAGTGAAAAAAAAATTACTAAATATAGCTAGCTCTCTCTCTCTCACTCTCTCTTGTTTCTCCTTTATTTTTGAAGAAATGAATGTGTTCAAAACTGTTCAACTATTGTCTTTCCCTCTCTTTGAGTCAGCTACTCACCACATTTTATGCACTCCAGGGCTAGCTAAATGTAGCTTATGCTTTCAGTATGAGATTAATTATCTGATCCTTTGATTGGCTGGACAACATGTCAGTTCATACTGCAAGAGCTCTGATAGGTTGGAGGACGTCCTTCGGAAGTCGTCATAATTACTGTGTAAGTCTATGGAAGGGGGTGAGAACCATGTGCCTCCTAGGTTTTGTATTGAAGTCAATGTACCCAGAGGAGGACGGGAACTAGCTGTCCTCTGGCTACACCATAGTGCTACCTCAGAGAGTGCTGTTAAGGCTACTGTATACCTTAATTGCAAAACAGTGTGCTTTAATAAAGTATTTGGTGACGTGAATATCACAGGAGGTTGGTGGCACCTTAATTGGGGAGGACGGGCTCGTGGTAATGGCTAGAGTGGAATAAGTGGAATGGTATCAAGTACATCAAACACATGGTTTCTATGTGTTTGATGCTATTCCATTAGCTCGGTTCCAGCCATTATTATGAGCCGTCCTCCACTCAGCAGCCTCCACTGGTGAATATATTTTATATAGTTTTATCTAAAAAAACTTTTTTAATGTTTCACTATTTTAATTTTTTGGAAATTCACTGAAGAGGATGGTCCCCCCCCCCTTCCTTCTCTGAGGAGCCTCCATTGGTGCACACACACACATATACTAACACACACTCTCCTGAAGGAGCTCACACGCACACCCACGCACACATACACACACTCCATTAGCCTGTTCAAGACTCTGACAAGACTGGAAGTGGCTTATTTTCCCTTCACCAAAAAATATGTCCACCAGCATATTTATTACTTTCAAGGTCATGAAACTGGATAGTAAAGTAGCTGTTACTATGGTACTCATCAGTGTGAATGTTTTGATTTAGTTCCACTGGTTTCAAGAAGAACAATTGCAGCATGTTTCAGGATAATTTGTATCAGGTGTTCAGGTAATGGAATGTTTGGCGACTATACAGCAGTTGCTATCTGGTAATATAACAAGTTAAATGTTCAGATGTTTGAAGTGCCTGCAGAAATTTTAACAAACAATGCATGAAGTGCTTCCCTTCCACTTAATTAGAGGAAACAGGAATGAATATGAACCCCAATACAGCTAAAATAATCAAATTTGATTGGCAGTCACTTAACATCCATTCCCCTGCAAAGACAAAACTATTTTCGGGTTTTTTCCACAAGAGAGACTCTCGAACTTGAGTTGTTTTATTTTTCCAAATCAATTTATTTAATTACGCCCAGAGCCATGATTATTGTAGTCCATGACTGGATGTCAGCACTCCAAATGTATTTAGTAGTTCAAGGAGAAATGCCAATAACCACAAGAGACTGAAGAGGGCGAGGGAAAGAGTGGATATATTTGATGCTAGAGAGGTGTGCACTCAAGCTCAAACCAACTCCATGGATTTGAGAACAAAACAATTACCAAAATGTCAACTAAACGGCCGCCCAACTTCAAAAGCAGACTGGCTATCTAACAGAAGCTAACGCCACCATGACGCAAGTGGATGGCCAGCTGTCTATTCCAAAATGTATGATTTCTACCTGTCTGATGTGTGTTCTAGAAATAATAAGGCCAGAGCATTCTGATTCTGTACCGATAAAGCAGCGACCGGTAAGACCAAATGACTACACTTTGAAAATGTACTGCTCGATCTCTATTGAGATTCATGGCTGTCAAATTTAAATGAGCTTCCAGACGCTGATGGAAGTTGAGCGAAAGGGGTAAGATGAGCTACCCTTGTTTCCAAGAAACCATACACAAAATTAGTCATTTGATCAAAATATTTAGGAAGAGGTTATCATTTCATGGAGTCTGTGAAGGAAGAAACCATATGGAAAAAGTGGTAAGCAAGTTAGGTCCAAAAAACTGACCAAGTCAAATTCATTTATTGTATTAGAGGTTTCATGATTTAAAGATTTTTCTATACATCAGTTGGGGTCTCTATAAGCTTCAGTATGAGGTCCTAAACCTAGCATTAAGTGCATCCTTGTAGCTGTGTGGGCTAATATAGTCAAAATGTTTGCCTTGGGGTAAGTGTTTTCTTCCCAGGCGTAATGCAAGGCATTATAGCTGGGATATAAGGTAACAACAGGGCCTGGTCTATGTTAAAAGTGTATTTTGTTTTTTGAAAGTGTTTGTTATTGTCACGTCTCCTCCCGTGGCTCCCTTCCGGCACTCTGATTCACCGGTCTACTGAGCCACCGGTCTGAGCGCACCACCTCGGCAACACCGGAATGGAAACCCAACGCACCATAATCACCTCCAGCGCACCTGCACCTCATCACCACCCCTATTTAGCCCTGGACTGTTCTGTATGATGTTGTGTGTGATTGTTAAGCTTCGTGTCGTTTACTCTATCTTTGTTATTTCTCTTTCTCATTGTTAAGTAAACCTTGACCTTGTTAATTCCTGCGTCTGCGTCCTGCCTCTTCGTATACTCAGTACTCGTCACAGAATCACACACCAAACGAAAATGGATGCAGCAGGAGTTTCCCAGTGCCTCGACCAGCACCAGCAACAGCTTGCCCAGTTGAACGCCGCCATGCAGGAAGTGCTCCAAACTCTGCATAATCTGCCCAGCGCTCCGGTTCCACCTCAGGGAGCGGCGAGTGCCCCCTGTGCTATCACCCACTTCTGCGGGAACCCTCTCCCTACCGGAGCGCTATGACAGTAAAACTACTAAATGTAGCAGCTTCCTGCTACAGGTTTCACTTTATTTGGAGCGTCAGCCTGGGGCATATCCATCTGACCAAGCCAGGATGGTGATTTCTCTACTTAAAGGAAAGGTGCTGGATTGGGCCACGGCAGTCTGGGAAAGAGAGGAGGCAGTGGCGCTTCCCTACCCCACCTTCCTCGCTCGGTTCAGGGTGGTGTTTGATCATCCCACGGAGGGAAAGGACGGGGGTGAGTGTCTCCTCCATCTACAACAGAGAGAGGGGCCCGCGTCCGAGTAGGCTCTGAGCTTTCGCACGGTGGCAGCGTCTTCCGGCTGGAATGAGCGTGATCTGCGCACGGCCATCAGGAGAGGCTTACGGGAGGACATCAAGATGGAACTCACATGTCGGGACGACGAGATGGACCTTGATACCCTCATCACCACGTCCATCCATCTTGATGACATGTTGAGAGAGAGACGACGTTCCCAACACCTCCCGGAGCCTCGACGCTCACCCCATCTGAGCATTGGAAGCCGCCCTGCTTCCGAGTCCTCACCCATGGAGGTGGGCAGCTCCCCCTACACTACCACAGATCTCCTGGCGGCTCCCTATCTAGGCGGTATGACTCCCGTCGCCGCTCCGTGAGTGTTATGTCAGCTCCTATCACAAAACCATTGTTTTTAGTTCCCATAACGGTGACTGGTTATTCCTTCTCTTCCATTTCTACCGCAATGATAGATTCCGGATCATCAGGGACTGGTCTTCCTTCTGCTCTCCATGTCGCTGAGGTCCTGTTCCAACAGGTCTTCCAGCATTATGGACTTCCGGAGGACATCGTCTCGGACTGTGGCCCCCAATTCACCTCCCGAGTGTGGAAGGCTTTCCTGGAGAAGATCGGGGCCACGGCCAGCCTCACTTCCGGGAATAGACCTCATTCGAATGGGCAGGTGGAGCACATGAACCAGGAGCTGGGGAGGTTTCTTCGTTGCCACTGTCAGGACCGGCAGGGTGAGTGGGCGAGGTTTCTTCCCTGGGCAGAATATGCCCAGAACTCCCCCGTTCACTCCTCCACGGGGCTCACTCCCTTCCAGTGCGTCCTGGAGTACCAGCCGGCCCTGGCCCCTTGGACACCCAGCCAGACCGATGCGCCCGCTGTCGACGAGTGGTTCCACAGGGCCGGACATGTCTGGGACGCCACCCATGTCCATCTCCAGAGGGCCATTCGTCGGCAGAAGGACCAAGCCGACCGCCACCACAGTGAGGCCCCTGTATTCCAGCCTGGGGATCGTGTCTGGCTGTCCACAAAAAACCTCCCTTTCCGCCTGCCCTGCAAGAAACTGAGCCCCCGGTTTGTTGGGCCGTTTAAGGTCCTCCGGCGGATAAATGAGGTATGATACCAGCTGCTCCTTCCCCCTCGCTACCGTGTCTCACCCACTTTTCATGTGTCTCTCCTCAGGCAGGTGGTTCCTGGTCCTCTGGCAGATGCCGTCCCCCGGGGTACGCCTCCTCCGCCCCTGGACATTGACGGGAGTCCGGTGTATGCAGTGAGGGACCTGCTGGACTCCAGGTTCCATGGGGGACGGCTCCATTACCTGGTGGACTGGGAGGGGTATGGTCCTGAGTGGAGGAGCTGTGTTCCGGCTGGGGACGTTCTGGACCCCAACCTAATTCGGGACTTCCACCATCGCCGCCATGACAGGCCCGCTCCTCGTCCTCGGTGTTGTCCTCCTGGCCGGTGACGTCCAGCGGCTGGAGCCCCTCCGGCGCTCTGATTCGCCGATCTACTGAGCCACCGGTCTGAGCGCACCACCTCGGCAACACCGGAATGGAAACCCAACGCAACCTAATCACCTCCAGCGCACCTGCACCTCATCATCTCATCACCACCCCTATTTAGCCCTGGACTGTTCTGTATGATGTTGTGTGTGATTGTTAAGCTTCATGTCGTTTACGCTATCTTTGTTATTTTTCATTGTTTAGTAAACCTTGACCTTGTTAATTCCTGCATCTGCGTCCTGCCTCCAACAAGTCAGTTCATCAAATTTCTGCCCTGCTAGAGCTGTCCCGGTCAACTGTAAGTGCTGTTATTGTGAAGTGGAAACGTCTAGGAGAAACAACGGCTTAGCTGCGAAGTGGTAGACCACACAAGCTCACAGAATGGGACTGCTGAGTGCTGAAAAAAATGTGTCTGTCCTCGATTGCAACACTCACTACCGAGTTCCAAACTGCCTCTGGAAGCAACGTCAGCACAATAACTGTTTGTCGCGAGCTTCATGAAATGGGTTTCCATGGCCGAGCAGCCGCACACAAGCCTAAGATCACCATGGACAATGCCAAGCGTCGGCTGGAGAGGTGTAAAGCTTGCCGCCATTGGACTCTGGAGCAGTGGAAACGCCTTCTCTGGGGTGATGAATCATGCTTCACCATCTGGCAGTCCAACGGACCATTCTAGGTTTGGTGGATGCCAGGAGAACGCTACCTGCCCGAATGGATAGTGTCAATTGTAAACTTTGGTGGAGGAGCAATAATGGTCTGGGGCTGTTTTTCATGGTTTGGGCAAGGCCCCTTAGTTCCAGTGAAGGGAAACCCTAACGCTACAGCATACAATTATATTCTAGATGATTCAGTGCTTCCAACTTTGTGGCAACAGTTTGGGGAAGGCCCTTTCCTGTTTCAGTATGACAATGCCCCCGTGCACAAAGCGAGTACATACAGAAATGGTTTGTCAAGATCGGTGTGGAAGAACTTGACTGGCCTGCACAGAGCCCTGACCTCAACCACATCGAGCACCTTTGGGATGAATTGGAACACCGACTGCGAGCCAGGCCTACTCGCCCAACATCAGTGCCTGACCTCACTAATGCTCTTGCGGCTGAATGGAAGCAAGTCCCGCAGCAATGTTCCAACATCTAGTGGAAAGCCTTCCCAGAAGAGTGGAGGCTGGTATAGCAGCAAAAGGGGGACCAACTCCATATTAATGCCCATGATTTTGGAATGAGATGTTCGACGAGCATGTGTCCACATGCTTTTGGTCATGTAGTGTATGTTTTCAAAACTGTCATTTTTATGTTAATTCTGATTATTTCCAGGGATTCACAACATCCTGAAATAATTCCCTTGACAGTGTGATGCTGAATGTAAAAAATGGCTAAACTCTCCCCTACAATGAAAGGCTCTGGGAACATCAAAGGCCTTCATAAAACCTGGAGGATGATTTATTTTGTGACTCCTTGATGAGGCCTAGCTATTCTTCTCACACACCTGGCATTGGCTGCTAAAGCGATGATAATGTCAGTCAGGCTGAGTCAAACCAAAGAGCTTTCCAGAATGTTTGCTATCTGAGAGATATCTTATGTATGGAAGACCCAGCTGGGTCAAAACGTATAGCGCTGATATGTTAAAACCGTTACTGGTCTGCTGCACTTTTTCAAACTGTGAGAGTACATGTCCTTGTACTGTGAATACTATGGTTACCTACAGTATTTTTTTTAGAAAATATGCTGAATTACAATTCAATCAATCAACCAACCAAAAGAGGGAGCAACAGTCACAAAGAAAAACTGTAGGAGAGAGAACCCTTGAGAGGAACCATACACCCTGCTGACGAAGTGAGTGCTTCTGTATCGCTGTATCCCTTACCTCCACAGGTCTTCCCGTCATATGTAGCACAGACCCAGTCATGGCATTCACAGCGTGGCCCATAGTAGTTCCCTGGCTCTGTGACCTGGCATATGCAAGCCCCGCAGTCACACTCTCCCCTACCGCTGCAGATAAGGCCATCAGGGGTCTTGCACCGCCGCTGGGACGACTCAGCAGACAGCGTACACACCTGCCTGGGAAGACAAGAGGATGAGCTTTTTATATTTCTATAGCCAAAGATCACATATTTTATGTATATTTTATGTATATTATTATCAACACAATCTCCAAAGAAAAAGCCATAACTGCAGCAATAGAGAGATGGCATGGCTGGCCCTTTTAATTATGGCGTGTGGGGCCGTCTGTGGTGCCGTCCATAGATTATGGAATGTGTATGCGTTAAGGTTAGGGTTTAGGTTTGGGATAGGGTTAGAAACAGAAAAACTAAAAGTACAAAATGATTGCCTAGAACTGGGATTCAACCCCATCCCCAATGCCCTATTGTGGGGCAGTTAAGCTGATAAATTGTTCACGTTTTGATAAAAGCATCACATTTGGAAGAGATGTAGATTCATGTACCATGAAAAGATTTAGATATGAAGCCACCCCAGATTTGGCCCCTGGCGTCCGTGGCGACCATCTTACAAAATGGCTGCTGATGGTAGCACTATTTATCTGTTCAGAAGGCCTATTTTGAGATAAACAACAAATATGACATGAGGTAGATTCATGTACCCTAAAAAGATTTAGATATGGAGTGACCACAAATTTGGCCCCTGGGTGCCGTGAACGCCATCTTACTACATTTCCCCAGACTGTACCACTATTTTAAAACATTCAATCTACAAAAAGTCATGGCATATACTGTACATTTTTTACTTTTAAAAGTCATGGCCTATACTTCTTTGCCTGGATCTTCTGAAAGCCAAAACGCCCAGTGATTTTCCTGTGTTATATATACAGTGCATTCGGAAAGTATTGACCCCTTAACTTTTTCAAATCAAATAAACTTTTATTTGTCACATGTGCCGAATACAACAGGTGTAGACCTTACAGTGAAATGCTTACTTACAAACTCTTAACCAACAATACAGTTTTAAGAAAAAATACCAAAAAAATCACAAAGAAATACAATATAAAATAATACGAAATATAAGTAACAAATAATTAAAGAGCAGCATTAAAAATAACAATAGCGAGGCTATATACAGGGCGTACCGGTACCAAGTCAATGTGCGGGGGCACCAATTAGTCAAGGTAATTGAGGTAATATGTACATGTAGGTAGAGTTAGTAAAGTGACTATGCATAGATAATAAACAGAGCGTAACAGCAGCGTAAAAGAAGGGGGGAGGGGGAGGGTAATGCAAATAGTCTGGGTAGCCATTTAATTAGATGTTCAGGAGTCTTATGGCTTGGGGGAAGAAGCTGTTTAGAAGCCTCTTGGACCTAGACTTGGCGCTCCGGTACCGCTTGCCGTGCGGTAGCAGAGAGAACAGTCTATGACTAGGATGGCTGGAGTCTTTGACCATTTTTAGGGCCTTCCTCTGACACCGCCTGGTATAGAGGTCCTGGAAGGCAGGAAGCTTGGCCCCAGTGATGTACTGGGCCGTATGCACCACCCTCTGTAATGCCTTGCGTTCGGAGGCCGAGCAGTTGCCATTACAGGCAGTGATGCAACCAGTCAGGATGCTCTCGATGGTGCAGCTGTAGAACGTTTTGAGGATCTGAGGACCCATGCCAAATCTTTTCAGTCTCCTGAGGGGGAATAGGCTTTGTCGTGCCCTCTTCACAACTGTCTTGGTGTGCTTGGACCATGTTAGTTTGTTGGTGATGTGGACACCAAGGAACTTGAAGCTCTCAACCTGCTCCACTACAGCCCCGTCGATGAGAATGGGGGCGTGCTCGGTCCTCTTCTTTTTCCTGTAGTCCACAATCATCTCCTTTGTCTTGATCACGTTGAGGGAGAGGTTGTTGTCCTGGCATCACACGGCCAGGTCTCTGACCTCCTCCCTATAGGTTGTCTCATCGTTGTGGTGATCAGGCCTACCACTGTTGTGTCATCGGCAAACTTAATGAAGGTGTTGGAGTCGTGCCTGGCCATGCAGTCATGAGTGAACAGGGAGTACATGAGGGCACTAAGTACGCACCCCTGAGGGGCCCCCGTGTTGAGGATCAGCATGGTGGATATGTTTTTACCTACCCTTACCACCTGGGGGCGGCCCGTCAGGAAGTCCAGGATCCAGTTGCAGAGGGAGGTGTTTAGTCCCAGGGTCCTTAGCTTAGTGATGAGCTTTGAGGGCACTATGGTGTTGAACGCTGAGCTGTAGTCAATGAATAGCATTCTCACATAGGTGTTCCATTTGTCCAGGTGTGAAAGGGCAGTGTGGAGCACAATAGAGATTGCATCATCTGTGGATCTATTGGGGCGGTATGCAAATTGGAGTGGGTCTAGGGTTTCTGGGAAGATGGTGTTGATGTGAGCCATGACCAGCTTTTCAAAGCACTTCATGGCTACAGACGTGAGTGCTACGGGTCGGCAGTCATTTAGGCAGGTTACCTTCGTGATCTTGGGCAAAGGGACTATGATGGTCTGCTTGAAACATCTTGGTATTACAGACTCAGACAGGGAGAGGTTGAAAATGTCAGTGAAGACACTTGCCAGTTGGTCAGCGCATGCTCGGAGTACACGTCTTGGTAATCCGTCTTGTGGATGTTGACCTGTTTAAAGGTCTTACTCACATCGGCTACGGAGAGTGTGATCACACAGCCGTCCGGAACAGCTGATGCTCTCATGCATGTTTCAGTGAAGTCACTTGCCAGTTGGTCACTGCATGCTTGGAGTACACGTCCTGTTAATCCGTCTGGGCCTGCGGCCTCATTAAAATGCAAATCAATTTATAACATTTTTTACATGCGTTTTTCTGGATTTTTTTGTTGTTATTCTGTCTCTCACTGTTCAAATAAACCTACCATTAAAATTATAGACTGATCATTTCTTTGTCAGTTACATTTTACATTTACATTTACATTACATTTTAGTCATTTAGCAGACGCTCTTATCCAGAGCGACTTACAGTTAGCACATACATTATTTTATCGAACCCACAACCCTGGCGTTGCAAACGCCATGCTCTACCAACTGAGCTACATCCCCTGCCGGCCATTCCCTCCCCTACCCTGGACGACGCTGGGCCAATTGTGCGCCGCCCCATGGGTCTCCCGGTCGCTGCCGGCTACGACAGAGCCTGGATTCGAACCAGGATCTCTAGTGGCACAGCTAGCACTGCGATGCAGTGCCTTAGACCACTGCGTCACTCGGGAGATAACGTACAAAATCAGCAGGGGATCAAATACTTTTTTACCTCACTGTAGATGAAAACTGTCTTGGTAGATAGTGTGGTCTAGAGCTTATCATGAGATACTCTACCTTAGGCGAGCAAAACCTTGAGACTTCCTTAGATATTGTGCACCAGCTGTTGTTTACAAATATACATACACCGCCACCCCTTGGCTGCTGTTCTATCCTGTCGATACAGTGTATAACCCGCCAGCTGTATGTTATTCATGTCTTTGTTCAGCCACGACTCGGTGAAACATAAGATATTACAGTTTTTAATGTCCCGTTGGAAGGATATTCGTGCCTGTAGTTTGTCCACTTTATTATCAAGCGATTGTAAGTTGGCCAATAGTATCGATGGAAAAGGCAGATTAGCCACTCGTCGCCGGCTCCTTACCAAGCACCCCGATATCCTTCCGCGATATCTCCTTTTCTTTCTACTGCGGGGATGAGGGCCCTGTCGGGTGTCTGGAGCAAATCCCTCTCGTCAGACTCATGAAAGAAAAATTGTTTGTCCAGTTCAAGGTGAGTAATCGCTGTTCTGATGTCCAGAAACTCTTTTCGGTCATAAGATACGGTAGCAGCAACATTATGTACAAAATAAGTTACAAACAATGTGAAAAAAACACACAAAATAGAACAGGTTGGTTAAGAGTCCATAAAACGGCAGCCATCCCCTCCGGGGCCATCTTGAAAAACATTTTGTGTTTCTTCCACATTTTGTTACGTTATAGACTTATTCTACAATTGATTACATTGTTTTATCTCAGCCAATCATCAGTCATTTGTGTAAGTGCTGTGCTTGTTGAATGTCCTTCCCTATAAGCGTGCTGAAAGTCTGTTGTCAATTTGTTTACAGTAAAATAGCATTGTATCTGTATCGTTCCGGCCTGTTCCTGCTCCCCGCACCAAGCCTGTGGTGTGCGTCGTCAGCCCGGTCCGGCCCGTTCCTGGTCCCCGCACCAAGCCAGTGGTGCGCGTCATCAGCCCGGTCCGGCCCGTTCCTGCACCCCGCACCAAGCCAGTGGTGCGCGTCGTCAGCCCGGTCCGGCCCGTTCCTGGTCCCCGCACCAAGCCAGTGGTGCGCGTCGCCAGCCCGGTCCGGCCTGTACCTGCTCCCCGCACCAAGCCTGTGGTGCGCGTCGTCAGCCCGGTCCGGCCCGTTCCTGGTCCCCGCACCAAGCCAGTGGTGCGCGTCGCCAGCCCGGTCCGGCCTGTACCTGCTCCCCGCACCAAGCCTGTGGTGCGCGTCGTCAGCCCGGTCCGGCCCGTTCCTGCTCCCCGCACCAAGCCAGTGGTGCGCGTCGTCAGCCCGGTCCGGCCCGTGCCTGCTCCCCGCGCCAAGCCAGTGGTGCGTGTGTCCAGTCCGGCACGGCCCGTGCCTGTTCCACCGGTGCCTGGTCCGGCACCGGTCAGCTGCTCCACTCCGGAGTCAGAGCAATCCGCTCCACCGGGGTCAGGTCCAACTCCAGTCAGCGGATCCACTCCGGAGCCAGAGCAATCCGCTCCACCGGTGTCCAGTCCAGCTCCGGCCAGCGGCTCCAGTCCGGAGCCGGTAAGGTTTGGTCCACCGTCGTCGGGTCCAGCTCCAGCCAGCGGGACCAGACCAGGGGCGCAACGGGGAGGTGGAGAAAAGGTGGTGGTCACGCCCGGAGCCGGATCCGCCTCCGAGGCGGAATGCCCACCCGGCCCCTACCCTCTTGTGTTTGTGTGGCGCGGTTGCAGTCCGCGCCTTTGGGGGGGGGGTACTGTCACGCCCTGGCTCTGGGGACTCTTAAATGTTGAGCCAGGGTGTGGATTTTTCTATGTTTAGTTTTCTATGTTTTTTGTTCTAGATCGTTTAGATCTATGTTGGCCAGGGTGGTTCCCAATCAGAGGCAGCTGTAGCTCGTTGTCTCTGATTGGGGACCATACTTAGGCAGCCTGTTGGCACCAGTTAGTTTGTGGGATCTTGATCCGTAAAGGTTTGGTGTGTGTAACCTCAGGACTTCACGTATCGTTTCGTTTTGTTGTTTTGTTCGTGTGTTGTGTATCAATAAAGATGTACGCTTATCACGCTGCGCCTTGGTTCCACGAGTCATCAGTCAACGTGCGTGACAAGGCCTGAGGGTACACACTTTCTAGTAGGATTGGCAATATCGTCCGTTATTATCCTCAGTAATTTTCCATCCAAGTTGTCAGACTCTGGTGGCTTGTCATTGTTGATAGACAACAATAATCTTTTCACTTCTTCCACTCTCACTTTACGGAATTCAAAATTACAATGCTTGTGGGAAGCTGCTATAGGGAGGTGACCAAGAACCCAATGGTCACTCTGACAGAGCTCTAGAGATCCTCTGTAGAGATGGGAGAACCTTCCAGAAGGACAACCATCTCTGCAGCACTCCACCAATCAGGCCTTTATGGTAGAGTGGCCAGACGGAAGCCACTCCTCAGTAAAAGGCACATGACAACCCGCTTGGAGTTTGCCAAAAGGCACCTAAAGATTCTTAGACCATGAGAAACAAGATTCTCTGGTCTGATTAAACCAAGATTCAACTCTTTGGCCTGAATGCCAAGCATCACGTCTGGAGGAAACCTGGCACCATCCCTACAGTGAAGCATTGTGGTGGCAGCATCGTGCTGTGGAGATGTTTTTCAGCGGCAGGGACTCAGAGACTAGTCAGGATCGAGAGAAAGATGACCGGAGCAAAGTACAGAGAGATCCTTGATGAAAACCTGCTCCTTGCAGACACCACTATGCTTGAAAATATGGAAAGTGGTACTCAGTAATGTGTTGTATTGGATTTGCCCCCAATATAAAACTTTGTATTCAGGACCAGGGGCGGTGTGTTCATTAGGGCGATATGGGCGACGCACTGCCAAACGGGAAAAGGAAGGGATTTTTTTTCTAATCAATTATATCACGGCAACAGTAGTTATCAGTGTTCTAATCTAGACGTCTGATCTGCCACTAAATATCCAATCAGGCTAAAGTCGTGCTTCAAATGGCCCCGCCCCTTTTGGGGCGATTTCAGTCAGGTTGAAAATCGCCCAGGAGTCTCTCATAGACTCTCATGTAAAATCTTTTTTTTTTCAAATATCAGAGCTTTCAATACAATCTCTATGGGTTCCGGGAGGGCTTGCACTTACGCGCTTTCGTCATACGTAACATAAGTAACCATGAACATAACTAAGAAAAGAGCGGGTAGCAGCGTCAATCAATTCACGTACTACTGTCAAGATGGCTAGCTTTGCGAGGCAAAGATGAAACTGAGGGCTCCACCAACCCTGGTATTTTTCTTGGACTTGTCAACTTTGTGGCACAATTAGATGAGGTGTTTGATGACCATCTTAAAAATGCTAAAGTTTTCAAGGGCACATCAAAGACCATTCAAAACGAGCTACTGGAGTGTATGCTAGCGGTCATGAGGGAACATATTGTGGAGGAGGTGAAGTCGGCGAACTTCGTAGCTATCCAAGCTGACGAGACCACGAACGTTTCTACACAGACACAGCTGGTGCTTGTGCTGAGGTACATAGATAGCAACCACAAAGTGCAGGAGCGCTTTTTTGAGTTCCTTCCCATCTCGGAATCAACCTCAGTCTCAATCGCCAGTGTGCTTTTGGAGAGACTGAACTGTCTTTTTGCCGACGACGAGAAAGTCAAACTCATTGCGCAAGCTTACGATGGAGCCAGTGTGATGAGGGGAGAGAAGGCTGGTGTGCAGCAAAAGGTGCGTGAGCATTTCAAGAATGCCCATTACGTGCATTGCTATGCGCATCAGCTGAATTTGATCATGCAGCAAGCTAGAACAGTTTCAGTACAAGTAATGTAGCCTCTCTCTCTCTTTGTCCCTCCCTGTCTGTCTCTTTAACACACACACGCCCAAATCAGTTCACAGTTGATGTTGTTTAAAATAGTTATTTTTCATTTTAAAAAAAGTAAAAAAATAATAATAATCTGTTCATGTTCATTTTTACAAATCTATACAATTGGCCAGAATATGGTTGTTCATATTTACAAATCTATACAATTGGCCAGAATATGGTTGTTCATTTTTACAAAGCCATACAGATAGCTGTGTTTACCTTTTCTAGAAATTATTTTCAAATTCTGTTTTCAGGCAAAATGTCTATCACTGTTCATTTTCACAAATCTATACAAAAGGGCAGAATATGGAAGTCTATAAAAATGTCTTATTACCAATAACTTGCATCAATGTTTTTAGTAGCCTCTATCAAAAGCTCCTGCTTGCTTGTTGTGAATTATGCTCAGGTGCACATATTTCCAATTCAACCATGAGGCCTTTTTGAAGCAAGTAATGTGTATATCAGTATTGACTTATATGCTGCCCCTGTCTTCATGTTGTTGCTGGACATATCTTTTTTAAAATGTGTGTAGGTCACCTAAATCATCAGAAAAATTGCCCCCCCTGAGAATTTTTTCAGGAGCCGCCACTGTTCAGGACAATAAGTACATTGTTTAGCCACATGTTTTTGCAGTATTACTTTAGTGTGTTTGCCACGGATTCAGCCAAGGCTGCTCCTCCTCCTTGCTTGGGCAGGCTTCGGCGTTCGTCGTCCCCGGAGTACTAGCTGCTGCCGATCAATGTTTCGGTGTTTGTCTTGTTTGGTCTTTATTTTTTACACCTGTTTCCCATTATGTTTTATTGTGTTCCCTTTATAACCCTCTGTTTCTCATTGTGTATTGTGGGTTATTGTTTTTGGTCTTCGCGGCAGTTGCCTATGTGTGCGGGTCTTGTTATTTCCCTCGCTGTTCGAGGTTGCCAGTGTACTTTGTTTTGTTGCACTGAATCCAGTAAAGTTTCTGCCAGTAGCTCGGTGTCCTGCTCTTGACTTCGCCTACCGCATACACGTCGCTGTGACAGAGGGACCTTACAGATAATTGTATATGTGGGATAGTCATACAAATATTATGTTAAACACTATTATTTTACACAGAGTGAGTCCATGCAACTTATTATGTGTCTTGTTAAGCTCATTTTTACTCCTGAACTTATTTAGGCTTGCCATAACAAAGGGGTTGAATACTTATTGACTCAAGACATTTCAGCTTTTCATTTTTAATTACTTTGTAAAAATGTAGAAAAACATAATTCCACTTTGACATTATGGGGTGCTGTGTGTAGGCCAGTGACAAAAAAATCTAGATTCAATCCATTTTAAATTCAGGCTGTAACACAACACAATGCATAAAAAGTCAAGGTGTGTGAATATTTTCTGAAGGCACTCTACATTCTGTATCTATGCTATACCTTTCCTCATCCCTACTTTTTGCTTTTTGCTTTTTGCTTTTTCCATTTTCTTTTTGGGAATAGTAATGTGCATAGTGTTTCCTTTGTAAACAGTGCTGGTCTCTGGTAGCAATCCCCATCTCAAGAGTCAGGAATCCCTCTGTTCTCTCTTCCCTCACTTTCTCACTGTCTATTTAATTTCCTGTGAAAAAGTAATTTGTCTATATGTGCAAGGATGACTGTGTGAAGTTTTACAAATTTAATTTTAACCAGACTCACTTTCCCTTTTTTTCTGACTGTCTCTTTCACTCTCTCTCTCTTCCTATCCTCTCCTCCGCTCTCTCCATGCCGCTTCCCCTCTCTTGTTTTTCCTCTCTCTCCCCCTCTCTCACACACCTTCTCCCTCTCTCTCTGACTGTAAATCTTTTGTGGCTCCTGAAAGTTCAGCTCTGCAATGCTGTAGGAGTATCTCACGAATGAATGGATTCTCTCACATTGTAATGTAATTTCTATTACCATTTTAAGTCCTATTTTAAGCATAATGTGAACTAACGAATACCTATGAACTAACCAATACCTAATGTACTCTAAAGGCGGGAATACCTCCTATGGCTGGTAACCTATGACAACAGCTGACCAGTGCAATATAAGATAATGGTAAGGTGTTGCCACATTGCACCCTTGACACTAGTCATGATGTTTCACTGTGTTATGTAATTCAACTGATAATGACCGAGGTTAGAGCTGGGGTAGAAACCTACAGGCTACAGACACAGGTATGTCAATGTTCATTGTTCAGAAAAGAGAGTCAGAGACCCGAGTCATTTCAAATAGGTTACAGGGAAAGGGGGATACCTAGTGAGTTATACAACTGAATGCATTCAACTAAAATGTGTCTTCCACATTTAACCCAGGTTGGAATGGAGAATGAGAACAAAGCAAATAACGTACTGTACAGATAAAGTATAGGATCTTAATTTGATCAATCTTTTGTTGCTGAGAGTATTCCTGCAAAGCAGGAAATGCAAACTTGTAGTGAATTTGAGTTTTTCAAAGGATTCTAAAGTTTGCAATTTCCACTTTGAAATTCCAGACTTGATTTGCCTAACAAAAAATATATCAACCCCTACAAAAATGTCCATTAATTATAATCCACATAATAATTCACATTTCCTCTTATTGCAGGATTATTTTCCTGCTGTAGCTCAAATTAAGATCCTACATCTGTACTGTACAGTAAATCCACTTCACGTTGCTTGGACTGCAACTCCAGACATGCGATCTTTCAAAGCTTTTGTTTTGTTGTCCCACTCACTCAGAGCTTTCTCAGTGAGATATGTTTATTTTGGTCTAGCTTTCTGACATTCCTTTCTATTCCTGCCCTCACATGCTAAGGCCTTTCCTGTTCAGGAACGGCAGAAATATTCCAAAGGGTGAATAAAACCCAAAGATCAAATATTCCTGCCACTCCCAATTTGATAAAAGAACAGCTTATTACACACTTTATGGACTCATGCATGCATACCTTATCTGATAAAAAAGAAAATATATGTTTGATGGCACATTAACAAACACAAACCAACAAGGGAGAAAAAACAAAACCCTGCATTTGAGCTATGGGCTACCACAACACACTGTTAATACTCTTTGACTTCACAGTAGCTTTCACATTTACAGTAATGGTACAGTATGTGTGGGTCAAGCCTCTATATTGCCCAATTAACATGTGCTGTGGATTTTGGGCCTACCACCCAACCACATAACACTACAACAAACACCCTACACAGCCTCAACATTAGCCACATGCACACGCGCACACACATACACATAGCCCCCTGGTGCACCTATTTTGAGTAAACACCCCCTTCTTTCCTCAGCTGAGTCAAGTTTACAGACTATGCTCTGCAATGTCATGTGGCAATACTTACTGCAGGCCCCCCTTCAAAGCCAAGGCAAAGGAAGATGTGGTTTCCCACATTCACAACAGACAACTATTTCACTGTCTATTTTTGTTTCGTTTTGTGTAGTATCATAAGAAATGCAGATGCATGATACAACACAACACAAACCAAGCACTCAAAACAGATAACATTTTCAAGGGAATGGTTTCATATCCTGCAAATGCAGCTTGATCTCTGAATGTGAAGAAAAAAAAATTCATCAACATTCTGTGCAGATACAATTCATATGACATAGATATTCTTTTCCACTATTGATGTAACGTTTGTACAAAAACTTTTAGATCACATAATATCCATTGAAAACACCTACCCAGTGCAGAGGTAGCAACTTTTTTATGTGCCAATAAAAAAATAATAGAGAATCTGACAGTACAAACTTTACCAACCACACTTACGTACACTACTGTAACGGCACCTTTTACTCTACTTCTAAACTTTCACCCAGTCAGCAGATCTCACCCTCTCATCGCTCTCTTCTCCTCAGATCAGAGAAGATGAAGCGAATCTAGAGACTGGTAGAGAGAGTCGAGGAGAGAAGAGAGAGAGGAGAGAGAGAGGCGAGAGAGAGAGAGAGGAGAGCTCGAGAGAGGATAGAGAGAGGAGAAGACGCGAAGAGAGAGAGAGAGAGATGACGAGAAGAGAGAGGAGGAGATCGTCTCGGAGAGAGAGAGACAGTCTTCCTCGGAAGAGGAGATCTCTCACTCCTCACGTCTCTCTCTGCTCTCTCATCTACTCTAGATCCTAGCTCTGCTCTTCTCGTCGCTCTCTTTCTCTCTCTCTCTCTCTCTCTCTCTGAATGAACCCCCAAACTAAACTTGATGACAAAAAGAAAGCCATGGTGAAACTCAAACTCACCCCAGCGATTGTAACAAACTTTGCTCGACAGCCGTGAGCAGAATAAGAAGCAAGGGAACTAACATAGAGTTCACCAAAGCCTCCGCACGCATGTTTAAATCCCACAGAAACCTGGAGTGAAGTCGCCTACAGGAATTTACCCCCTTTTTTCCTAAACAGAGTGAGAGCTAGAGGAAACGATGAAGAGAAGGAGAGAGGAAGAGAAGGAGAGAGAGAGGGAGAGAGAGCAGCGGACTGGTCAGAACTGGCCAACCCTTCAGAGGCCAATAGCGTTCTCTCTCTCCATACAAGTGCCTTTGATTAGTTGTGACTCTCTCAGGCTGAGTCCTGGGCAGGAGTTGGAGAGGAGGAACCTGCCAAAAAAGAAAAGAAAAGTTCAGTCACAGTTATGTAACTAGAAACAGTCTTTCATACAAATGATTTATCATTGTTATGTTTTTTTCTCTTTCTCTCCTGAGTCCTGAGTTTATTGATCAAAGACTTGTATTGAATCAAAATTACCCTACTAGGTACTATACCTGATCATGGTCAAACTAATGGACAAAGTTTGCAAAGCAGTATTCATTGAAAATAAATTCTGTAAAAAATAAAATAAATTATAGGCCTATTTAGATTTTTTTCCTTTTGTGATTATCTGAAGACCAACACCTGACAAATGACTGATTCCCACAATCCTGCAATTAATTAATTGTGGGGCCCATTTATTTTTCTTTTGCAATACATTTACCTAAATAATTGTCATATGTTGAATTTCCATGTCATGATTGCACTGTGACTGTTGGGTTTTTAAGGATTATGGATTTGTCCCAACCAATAATCAACGCTGATTTATGCCACACATACATTGCCAACCAACTGATGCTGCATGCTATTGCCAACCAACTGATGCTGCATGCTATTGCCAGGAAAAATCCTATCCTAAACCTTTCTGAAACATTGAACAATTTTGGTGGTGTATTTTCACTATTTAGGATTTCCATTTGAGGCCTGTGGTCTGCCAGTGCCTGCTTCAGCTTGCCCCAGTAGCCTACCTACTGTTGCTGGGGGGATGAATTCGCGCAAACGCCGCCGCCGCTGCAGCCATCTGCTGCTGCTGCTGATGTGATGAGAGGTATCCAGCTGCAGGGTCGCAGCATAGCCTCTTGCTAAAACTAGTCTCTGGCTAAATAACTTTTGTCATTTCCTTGTTTTTTACCGAGCGCGTAACCAGTACAATCAATGACGATACTAGCAGACGTCGATTGTTGCCATCTTACGGGCCCCTGACCAATTCTGCTATTTTGTGTGTTTTTTTTAGCTGATCTTATCTTTTTTTGTACATAATATTTCCGCCATGATTTCCTATGACCGAAAACAGCTTCTGGACATCAGAACAGCAATCACTATACTCGATTTGGATGAAAATTTCTACTTCAAGGAGTCGGCAGCTGTGGAGAAACTGATCATTCCAGGACCGGGCCCCAATCCCTGGGACTTGAAAGAGGAAGAGACGACGCAAGAGAGGCATCTACTCCTGAGTGGCGCAGTGGTCTAAGGCACTGCATCGCAGTGCTAACTGTGCCACTAGAGATCCTGGTTCGAATCCAGGCTCTGTCGCAGCCGGCCGCGACCGGGAGACTCATGGGCGGCGCACAATTGGCCCAGCGTCGTCCAGGGTAGGGGAGGGAATGGCCGGCAGGGATGTAGCTCAGTTGATAGAGCATGGCGTTTGCAACGCCAGGGTTGTGGGTTTGATTCCCACGGGGGGCCAGTATAAAAAAAAAAATTATTCACTAACTGTAAGTCGCTCTGGATAAGAGCGTCTGCTAAATGACTAAAATGTAAATGCAAACAAGCAGGCTCCCTGATGAGACTACGTTGGCGAGTAAATAAACTGCCTCTACCTTCCATTCTATTGGCGAACATATAATCACTAGAGAACGGACTGAAGAAGCACTGTTCAAGACTTTTCTATCAACGGGACCTGAAGAACTGTAAAATCCTATGTTTCTCAGTGTCCTGGCTGAACAAGGACATGTATAATATGCAGTACATCTAACTGGTTTTTCTATGCATCATCAAGACCGAACAGCAGCTTCGGGTAAGGTTAAGGGTGGAGGAGTGTGTCTCTTTATTAACAGCTGGTTTTGCTCGTCTGAGTTAGAATACCTTAAGATAAGCTGCAGACCATACAATCTCCAAGAGAGTTTTCATCTATATTTTTCGCAGCTGTCTATTTACCGCACTGACCATCAACACAGGGGACCTTCTCCAGTGCTGAGTCCCCTCCTGTACTCCCTGTTCACTCATGACTGCGTGGCCGCGCACGATTCCAACACCATCATTAAGTTTGCTGACAACACGACGGTGGTTGGCCTGATCACCGACGATGATGAGACAGCCTATAGGGAGGTCAGTGACCTGGCAATGTGGTGCCAGCACAACAACCTCTACCTCAACGTGATCAAAACAAAAGAGCTGATCGTGGACTGCAGAAAACGGAGGGCCGAGCACGCCCCCATCCATATCGACAGGGTTGTAGTGGAGCGGGTGGAGAGCTTCAAGTTCCTTGGTGTCCACATCGCTAAATAATGAATTTGCACTATGGCCTATTTATTGCCTTACCACCATAGTTAACTACATTAGCACACACTGTATATATATTTTCTGTTGTATCTTTGACTTTATGTTTTGTTTACCCCATATTTAACTCTGTGTTGTTGTTTTTATCACACTGCTTTGCTTTATCTTGGCCAGGTCGCAGTTGTAAATGAGAACTTCTTCTCAACTGGCTTACCTGGTTAAATAAAGTCCACTAGGTCCACACACACCAACACAGTCGTGAAGAATGCACGACAATGCCTCTTCCCCCTCAGGTGGCTGAAAAGATTTGGCATGGGCCCTCAGATCCTACAGTTGCACCTTTGAAATAATCTTGACTGGCTGCATCACAGCTTGGTATGGCAACTGCTCGGCATCCCACCGCAAGGCGCTACAGAGAGAGAACGGCACGGCAAGCGTTACCGATGCACCAAGTCTGGAACCAACAGGACTCTGAACAGCTTCTGCCCCCAAACCAAAAGACAGCTAAATAGTTAATTACGTAACCAATAGCTACCCGGGGTATCGGCATTGACCTTTTTTTGCAGTAACTATATTGACTTTTCACATATGTACTCTGCTGCTACTGTTTGTTATCTATCCTGTTGCCTAGTCACTTTATCCCTACCTATATGTACAGTTGAAGTCAGAAGTTTACATACACTTACAGTGGGGGAAAAAAGTATTTAGTCAGCCACCAATTGTGCAAGTTCTCCCACTTAAAAAGATGAGAGAGGCCTGTAATTTTCATCAAATGTACATGTCAACTATGACAGACAAATTGAGGAAAAAAAATCCAGAAAATCTCATTGTAGGATTTTTAATGAATTTATTTGCAAATTATGGTGGAAAATAAGTATTTGGTCACCTACAAACAAGCAAGATTTCTGGCTCTCACAGACCTGTAACTTCTTCTTTAAGAGGCTCCTCTGTCCTCCACTCGTTACCTGTATTAATGGCACCTGTTTGAACTTGTTATCAGTATAAAAGACACCTGTCCACAACCTCAAACAGTCACACTCCAAACTCCACTATGGCCAAGACCAAAGAGCTGTCAAAGGACACCAGAAACAAAATTGTAGACCTGCACCAGGCTGGGGAGACTGAATCTGCAATAGGTAAGCAGCTTGGTTTGAAGAAATTAACTGTGGGAGCAATTATTAGGAAATGGAAGACATACAAGACCACTGATAATCTCCCTCGATCTGGGGCTCCACGCAAGATCTCACCCCATGGGGTCAAAATGATCACAAGAACGGTGAGCAAAAATCCCAGAACCACACGGGGGGACCTAGTGAATGACCTGCAGAAAGCTGGGACCAAAGTAACAAAGCCTACCATCAGTAACACACTACGCCGCTAGGGACTCAAATCCTGCAGTGCCAGACGTGTCCCCCTGCTTAAGCCAGTACATGTCCAGGCCCGTCTGAAGTTTGCTAGAGTGCATTTGGGTGATCCAGAAGAGGATTGGGAGAATGTCATATGGTCAGATGAAACCAAAATATAACTTTTTGGTAAAAACTCAACTCGTCGTGTTTGGAGGACAAAGAATGCTGAGTTGCATCCAAAGAACACCATACCTACTGTGAAGCATGGGGGTGGAAACATCATGCTTTGGGGCTGTTTTTCTGCAAAGGGACCAGGACGACTGATCCGTGTAAAGGAAAGAATGAATGGGGCCATGTATCGTGAGATTTTGAGTGAAAACCTCCTTCCATCAGCAAGGGCATTGAAGATGAAACGTGGCTGGGTCTTTCAGCATGACAATGATCCCAAACACACCGCCCGGGCAACGAAGGAGTGGCTTCGTAAGAAGCATTTCAAGGTCCTGGAGTGGCCTAGCCAGTCTCCAGATCTTAACCCCATAGAAAATCTTTGGAGGGAGTTGAAAGTCCGTGTTGCCCAGTGACAGCCCCAAAACATCACTGCTCTAGAGGAGATCTGCATGGAGGAATGGGCCAAAATACCAGCAACAGTGTGTGAAAACCTTGTGAAGACTTACAGAAAACGTTTGACCTGTGTCATTGCCAACACAGGGTATATAACAAAGTATTGAGAAACTTTTGTTATTGACCAAATACTTATTTTCCACCATAAATTGCAAATAAATTCATAAAAAATCCTACAATGTGATTTTCTGGAAAAAAAATTCTCATTTTGTCTGTCATAGTTGACATATACCTATGATGAAAATTACAGGCCTCTCTCATCTTTTTAAGTGGGAGAACTTGCACAATTGGTGGCTGACTAAATACTTTTTTCCCCCACTGTAGGTTGGAGTCATGAAAACTCGTTTTTCAACCACTCCACAAATTTCTTGTTAACAAACTATAGTTTTGGCAAGTCGGTTAAGACATCTACTTTGTGCATGACACAAGTATTTTTTCCAACAATTGTTTAGAGACAGATTATTTCACTTATAATTCACTGTATCACAATTCCAGTGGGTCAGAAGTTTACACACACTTAGTTGACTGTGCATTTAAACAGCTTGGAAAACAGCTTCTGATAGGCTAATTTACATCATTTGAGTCAATTGGAGGCGTACCTGTGGATGTATTTCAAGGCCTACCTTCAAACTCAGTGACTCTTTGCTTGACATCATGGTAAAATCAAAAGAAATCAGCCAAGACCTCAGAAAAAAATGGTAGACCTCCTTAAGTCTGGTTCATCCTTGGGAGCAATTTCCAAATGCCTGAAGGTTTTTATTTTATTTATTTTTATTTCACCTTTATTTAGCCAGGTAAGCCAGTTGAGAACAAGTTCTCATTTACAACTGCGACCTGGCCAAGATAAAGCAAAGCAGTGCAATAAAAACAACAACACAGAGTTACATATGGGGTAAACAAAACATAAAGTCAAAAATACAACAGAAAATATATATACAGTGTGTGCGAATGTAGTACCTTATGGAGGTAAGGCAATAAATAAATAGGCCATAGTGCAAAAATAGTTACAATTTCATAATTAACACTGGAATGATAGATGTGCAAAAGTTGATGTGCAAATAGAGATACTGGGGTGCAAATTAGCAAAATAAATAATAATATGGGGATGAGGTAGTTGGGTGGTCTAATTTCAGAATGGCTGTGTACAGGTGCAGTGATCAGTAAGCTGCTCTGACAACTGACACTTAAAGTTAGTGAGGGAGATAAGAGTCTCCAGCTTCAGAGATTTTTGCAGTTTGTTCCAGTCATTGGCAGCAGATAACTGGAAGGAATGGCGGCCAAAGGAGGTGTTGGCTTTGGGGATGACCAGTGAGATATACCTGCTGGAGCGCAGACTACGGGTGGGTGTTGCTATGGTGACCAGTGAGCTAAGATAAGACAAGGATTTGCCTAGCAGTGATTTATAGATGACCTGGAGCCAGTGGGTTTGGCGACAAATATGTAGTGAGGGCCAGCCAACAAGAGCGTACAGGTCACAATGGTGGGTAGTATATGGGGCTTTGGTGACAAAACGGATGGCACTGTGATGGACTACATCCAATTTGCTGAGTAGAGT